TACAGGACAGAGAGGAGTCTAGAACATGTACCACTAGAAAATGAAACCACTATCTTGACTTAAGTACTTCCTGGTTTTCCACAAGTTGATATGACCTCAGGCTACGCTTTCTCCTCAGAGTGTGCTACAGTTGTCAGAATCTCTTCATCTTGGCCGTGGCTCAAGAGTTGAGGACATTGCTATATTACTGAGTACATAGAAACTCAAGAGCTGACTTGTGGCAACTTGACAGCAAGTAGGTGATAGGAAACAGAGTGTCAGGCAGTACAGCAGGAATAGCACACTACAGGAAACAGCTGGTGACTTACATAGACAATTCCCACTTCCATGCTTCCTGTTAAAATTTCTCAGCTTTGTGCTCTTACAAAAGCAATACTCATTCAGTGACAACTGTTTCTCAGATTTTGAATTTTTATTGTTTCCTGAACTAGTGATATATAGTAATGGCAACATAATGGAAAGGCAAACATTTTTGCTCTACATTCAACAATTCAGATTACCTCCGACACCAGATATTTGTAGGGTTTACACACAGTTCTTTAGCAGATACCTCCTGGGCATTCTCCTGTTCAATTCTGATTCTGTCCCTCTTGCCACCAAATGCTAGTTGCAAGCTCAAAATTATTTCACCTGGGCTTTTCACTGACTAAGCTACTGTATTGGGTCCTATATTTTGATTCTTGTTTTTAATTTTATTATATTTACTCTCTTTTATAGTTAAGTGATTTTCTCTGGTAAGGTGTGTTGATTTGATTTTTTTTCATAAGACTATTAGAGATTTTTGTTTTGTGAAACTATCTTTTGGCTGTAACTGATTGTTTTTAGGAATAACAGCATGGCATTGGCTGCACTGAGGAAATCAAAATACTAATAAAGAACTCTGTCGTTGCTCTCTATTCCTATTAAGTTGCCATTTGGAACCCCTGCATCCCAAATTGAAATAAGCCTTTTAAAAAAAGGCTTGATTTTTATTTATTTAAAAGGCAGAGTTATAGAGAGGTAAGGAGAGACACACACACAGAGTGATAGGGAGGGAGATACAGAGAATGAAGGAGGTCTTCCATCCTCTGGTTCACTCCCCAAATTGCCACAGTATTGGCACTGGTCCTTTCAGAACACAGTAGCCCAGAGCTGCTTCTGTGTCTGCCATGTGGGTGCAGAGGCCCAACTGTTTTCCCAGTTTCATTAACAGGGAACTGAGTCAGAAATGAAGTTGCCGGGTCTTGAACCCATGCCTATGTGTCACCTATAGCTAATTTGCTGTGCCTCAATGCCAGTTGCTTTACTCCTGATTCAGCTCCCTGCTGATGCATCTGGAGAACAGTGAATGATGTCTGAAATACTTGGTTTCTGCTGTCCACCCTGGGAGATTCTTAATCACCTGACCCAACCCCAGCTGTTGCAGCTATTGAAAGGCAGATTTGCAGAGAGGAGAGAGGAATTTTCCATTCACTGGTTCACACCTTAGCTGCAATGGCCAGAGCTGAGCTGATCTGTAGCCATGAGCCCCCTGTCGCGCTCTCGTTTGGTGCAGGGTCCCAAGGGGTTTGGGCCATTCTCCAGGCCACTAACAGGGAGCTAGATCAGAATAGGAACAGCTGGGACATGAACCAGCAATCATATGGGAAGTGGTACCACAGGCAGAGAATTAGCTTACTGTGCCACTACACCGGCCCTCACAGGTCTTTTTTTTTTTTTAAAAAGTAAATAAATAAGAGTACATTTTAGTTTGTCTATATAGTTAGTATTAACCAGTGAATTTTCTGCCTTCTGATAGTAGCATCTGTTTCATTCAGTTTGAAGAATTCTTTTGGTAACTTTATTATTATCTTGAGATATATTTATTTGAAAGGCAGAGTGACAGAGATTTTTGCATCCTCTTGTTCACTGCCCAAATGGCCACAGTAGCTCCTACCTGCACCTGGCCAAAGCCAGGAACTAGGATCTTCAGCTGGGTCTTAGCACAGGTGGCAGGGGCCTAAGTATTGGGCCAGAATTGTGTGTTGCCAGGTACTTTAGCAGGGAAGCTGAATCAGAAATAAAGCAGCAGGATCTCAAACCGGTTTCTGATATGGGTTGCCAGCAACACAGGCAGTGGCTTGATGCATTAAGCCTCGGTGACCCTCTTAGTATTTTTTCGAAGATCTGATGTTAATACATTCTGCTTGTCTGACTATATCTTTATCTCCCTTTATCTCAAAAATAATCTTTCTGGGGGCAGTATTCCTTGTTCGCATGTTTGGTTTTTTTTTTCCTTCAGTGCCTTGAAGTATGAATCCATTCACTCCTGACCTGTAAGGTTCTGCAAAGAAGTCTGTAGTCAAGCAAGAATACTTTTATGTGTGGTTTCTATTCTTTAGCAGCTTGGAGAATCTTCCAGGCTTTGATTGTAGCTTATCTGTGGTAGACTTGGTTGTAACTCTCCTTCCACCCATTGGAAGAACTGACAGACCACCACCATGCCGAGATTCCACCTTGGCAGCACCTGGGCAGCACATGCCATTTGCATCTCAAAGGAAAGGACTCAAGTTATTGTCATATTCCCGCACCCTTTAACAGATGTGCAACTGTTGCTATTTGTATTAGTTTCTTGTCCTTTTAAGAAATTTGTTTCATTTGCAAAGGTCTTCCATTTGTCTGTTCAGTTCCAAATGCGTTGTTCCAGATAGCTTAAAACCTAGAGCCTATTATAAGATTTATTTATTTTTATTGCCAAGTCAGATATACAGAGATGAAGAGAGACAGAGAGGAAGATCTTCTATCTGATGAGTCATTTCTCAAGCGGCCACAAAGGCCAGAGCTGTACCGACGGGAAGCCAGGAGTCCGGAGCCTCTTCCTGGTCTTCCATGTGAATGCAGGGTCCCAAGGCTTTGAGCCATCCTCAGCTGCTTTCCCAGGCCACCAGCAGGGAGCTGGATGGGAAGTAGGACTGCCGGGATTAGAATCACATGTGGAATCCCAGCACATTCAAGGTGAGGACTTTAGCTGCTAGGCTACTGTGCTGGAGGCTATTTACTCTTTTTTTTCTTTTAATATTTATTTGTTTTTATTGGAAAGGCAGATGCACAGTACTTTATCCGCTACGCTATCACGCTGGGCCCTCAAACACCATTTTCTTTTTTTAAATTATTGATTACATTGTATTATGAGACACAGTTCCATAGGTACTGGGATTCCCCCCAACCCTCCCCCCATGGTGGACTCCTCCACCTTGTTGTGAGACCACAGTTCAAGTTCAGTTGAGACACCTTCATTGTAAGCATATACCAAGCATAGAGTCCAGCATCTTATTATCCAGATAAGTTCATCTGCTTCTTGGGGAGACCTTCTCTGGTCTGAAGGTAGGGCCAAGAGAGCAAGATCCCGATCAATTAAAAGCCCCAGCAGCAACAATATATATCGTTATGGAATTAATTGACATAGTGTTGAGTAAACAATATGTTAAAATTACATGTAAGTTCTTAACAACCTCCTGCGACTATTTCAATGACATTTTAACAATTGAGGTGCATAACAGCTTTGGGGGGGAATGCAGAGAAATCTCTCATACCTTGGTGAGGAGTACTTGTTCTTTGTGTTCTACCTAGTAGGGTATGTGTGAGTCCATGATGACCAATCTTTCTTTGTTGTCAAACACCATTTTCTAAACAATCTACTTGATAGTGCCTGACATTTAAGTGTGTTGTATTACTATACAGATAGTTATGAATCTTTTTGGTTATCTGCATATTGTGATATTGTGCTTCACTAAAATGTTTTCTTCAAAATATTGTAAAATGTTTTAATGGTCACTTTAAACTACATTTGGTGATGGAGAGGGACAGACTTGCCTTCAGAATAAATCAACTGCAGTATATGTAAATTGGAACTGGTGAATAACCTTTTCATTCGTGGGTAAAATATTTTTAACTAAGCATTTTTAGCAGGTTTTTTTTGTGTTTATTTGGATTATTTTTATTTTGGTTGTATATATGTAGTCTCGTATCTTCATTTAAAGTTACCTATATTGCTTATGTACTTATTTGCTCTTTCAGGTTTCTTTAGAAGCTTTCCACAGCTTTCCACAATCCCCCTTAGACCTACATACTTCTCAGATTTTTATTTTAGTACAGTATATATAGTATGTGTCTAAAGGTAGATATTTTGCTTTATATTATCAGCAGTAGTGATTTGGGGTTCAGAATCACAGTTGGATTCAAGAGAAAGAGTGAGTTTTATCGAAAACTAAGTTTACTTACCCTTAAAAAAATGTAGCGTAGAAAACAGCATACAATGTACAGACAGGATGCCAGGCATCTCATTCCTGATAGGTTTGTGGTCCTGAGGAACGTAAGCAGTTGAAGGATGGAGACTCGGTTGATTAAAAGCCAAGTCAGCTCTTATACCTCACTCAATTCTGCACTGTAGCAGTGTTAGCACCACTAGAATACTCAGATTACTGTATAGTACATCTCAGAAGCTTCATTTGTTTGCTAGTTGCCTAGTTCTTAACAGCATTTGATCTTTTGGATCTGTTTAAAAATCATTTACTTCCTTACAATAGAATTTAAGTTGGAAAATGACTTTTCATAGAGATGCCAAAACATCATGGGCACATGACTTCCTTTGAATTGTGAGTTATGAATCTGCTCTTCAACTAAAGTTAAATTTTCTAATCATGAGAAGAAAACTCAGATTAAAATTATCTGTTGCTCTTGATAAGAGAAAAAGCAGGACACTGCAAGAAAATTTTAATTTGAGAGTCTTAGTTGTTAGCTTTGCTTCATTAACATTTCATAAAATTTAGTTTAACATTTTAGAATTACATTGTGATACTTTTCAAAACATTGATTGGCTTGATATAGCATCCTGACCCATGATTCTATTTCTGTACTTCTCAGATCAAATAGCTGGATAAGATGAAGGTTAAATTCTGGGCTCAGTGAAAGTCTGCCGAGAAATTTGATTTCCAGTTACAGTTTGTTTCCTGGTACCCATGTCCTTTTTGTTTTTATTAAAGCTAAGAAAGAAGAAAAGAAAAGGCGTAAGTCATCGTCATCTTCCTCCTCGTCATCCAGTGACTCCGATAGCTCCAGTGATTCTCAGTCCTCTTCTGATTCTTCTGATTCTGAAAGTGCTTCTGAAGAGAAGTCAAAGAAAAGGAAAAAGAAACATCGGAAAAATTCCCGAAAACATAAGAAGGAAAAGAAGAAGCGAAAGAAAAGCAAGAAAAGGTCTTTTTTTTTTTAAAGATTTATTTTTATTATTTTGTTATTGGAAAGGCGGATATACAGAGAGGAGAGACAGAGAGGAAGATCTTCCGTCCAATGATTCACTCCCCAAGTGAGCGCAACGGCCAATGCTATGCCGATCCGAAGCCAGGAGCCTCTTCTGGGTCTCCCACGCGGGTGCAGGGTCCCAAAGCTTTGGGCCGTCCTCGACTGCTTTCCCGGGCCACAGGCAGGGAGCTGGAAGGGAAGCGGGGCTGCCAGGACTAGAACCGGCGCCCATATGGGATCCCGGGCGTGCTAGGCGAGGACCTTAACCACTTGCGCCACCACGCCGGGCCCTAGCAAGAAAAGGTCTTTAGTTTCATAGTACTTGGCTTTCTGTTGTGATTCCCCTCTGTTTATACAATAATTTATTGATGTTTTGGTTAATTAAAGTAGTAATATTTTATACCATGAACTATATCAATCAAGATTACATTCAATCATCTATAAATTAGATTTGGATACATAGATTTCTATTTTTGAAAAAGATTTATTGTATTATTTATATCAAAGGCTGATTTTTGCAGAGAGAGAAGGAGAGACAGAGTAAGAGTCTTTCATTCGCAGTTTATTTCTGTTTGAAAGGCGGATTTTTGCAGAGAAAAGGAGAGACAGAGAGTGGTCTTTTATGTGCTGGTTCATTCCCCAAATGGCCATAGTGGTCTCGGCTGAGCTTATCTGACCCTGGGAGCCTGGAACTTCTTCCCCATCTCCTATGTGTATACAGGATCCCAAGACCTTTGGCCATCTTTTACTGCTTTCTCAGGCCGTAAGCAGAGAGCTAGGTCAGAAGCCGGGCATCTAGGACATGAACCAGCACCCATGTGGGATGCCAGCTCTTATACACAGAGGGTTAACTTGCTGTGGCACCACATCTGGCCTTGTGGGTTTCCATTTTTTAAGAAAAAGCTTGGATTGTTTCGTGTTCAGTCAATGAATTTTAGCTGTGTATCCTCTGGAGTTAATGAGAATGTAGGAAACCAACAGTTTTCATTGTTTAATACACCAGGCTCTTTGACTTTATCTCTTATATAATGCATAAGAGTAGAAAACAGATAATTGACTATTGAGTTTCCCTTCCATTTTACTCAAAATAATCTGTGGCTAGACTAAAAATTAGTTTTATTTGCCAATTGCCAAAAAAGCAATTATTTTCTTTAATTTTTAAAATTTACCAGAGTGTTGAGTATAGTCTCATATTTTATTTAGTTTTAAAAATATGTTTGAAAGAATTATGTATGAAAGAGAGGAGGAGACAAGAGAGAGAAATCCTCCGATCATTGCTTCACTCCCTAGATGACCACAATGGCCATCACTAGGCCATGCTGAAACCATAAACTTCATCTGGGCTTCCCACGTAGTGGCAAGGGCCCAGACACTGTGCTCATCTTCAAATACGTGACTGTTAGTAGGGAATTAGATTGGAAGTGGAGCAACCAAAATACAAACAAACCAGTGTTCATATGAGAACACTAATATTGCAGTGAAACAGTGCCCACACCCAAGTCTCATATTTTAGAGCCATATTATGGAAAAATATGTATTTTAACCATGGCTGGTGCTGTAGCTCAATAGGTTAAGACTCTGCCTTTGGCATCAACATCCCATGTGAGCACCCATTCCAGTCCTGACTCTCTTTCAATCCAGCCCTTTGCAAATGTGCCTGGGAAAGCAGAATCCTACATCCTCATGGGAAACATGAGGGAAGCTACAGGTGGATGAAGTTCTCTTTCCTTTTCTTTTTGTAAATATCTCTTTCAAATATAAAAAAACTGGCCCAGTGTGATAGCGTAGTGGCTAAAGTCCTCACCTTGAATGCGCCAGGATCCCATATGGGCGCCAGTTCTAATCCCGGCAGCTCCACTTTCCATCCAGCTCCCTGCTGTGGTCTGCGAAAGCAGTCGAGGACGGCCCAAAGCTTTGGGATTCTGCGCCCTCATGGCAGACCTGGAAGAGCTCCTGGCTGCAGGCTTCAGACTGGCTCAGCTCCAGCCATTGCCACCGCTTGAGGAGTGAATCATTGGATGGAAGATATTCCTCTTTGTCTCTCATCCTCTCCGTTTATCTGACTGCAATAAAAATAAATAGATCGGGCTCAGCAGCACGGCCTAGCGGCTAAAGTCCTCGCCCTGAACGTGCCCGGAATCCCATATGGGTGCCGGTTCTAATCCTGGCAGCTCCACATCCAGCTCCCTGCTTATGGCCTAGGAAAGTAGTCAACGATTGCCCAAAGCCTTGGGACCCTGTACCTGTGTGAGACCTGAAGGAGGTTCCTGGCTCCTGGCTTTGGATTGGCGCAGTAGCGGCTGTTGGTGGTCACTTGGGAGCTAACCATCAGACAGAAGATCTTCCTCTCTGTCTCGCCTCCTCTCTGCATTTCTGACTTTCCAATAAAAATAAATAAATCTTAATAAATAAATAAATCTTTTAAATATATGTACATATAAACAAATAAATCATAACATAAATAGAAATATTTTATTTGAAAATTTGATTGGTCAGTTTTTCAGGAATGGAATTAAATTTTGTCCATGTGTTCACATATTTAGGAAGGAGAGGGCAATATATATTATCACATAAAATAAAAACTAAAAATTTGTATTTTGAGTATGTACATAATAACCAAATATAATTTGTTTTCTGTATTTCTCTTAAGTGCATCTAGTGAGAGTGAGGCTGAGAATCTTGAAGTACAGCCTCAATCTACCGTTCGTCCAGAAGAGATCCCTCCTATACCAGAGAACAGATTCCTAATGAGAAAAAGTCCTCCTAAAGTGGATGACAAGGAAAGGAAGAACAGAGAGAGAGAAAGAGAGAGAGAGTGGTATGTATGTTTGTTTCATAGCATCCTCTACATGGTTTTACGATAGGAGCTTTTCTCATTGTCATGAATTTTCACTTAGTTTTACTTCATGCTTTTGTAAAATTTTTTTAGCATGTTGTTAGGAAAACTCCCATTTGGTAACCATATATAAAACTAGAAAGATAAAGAGACTTAAATTACCAGCAGATTCTGAGTAAAATTTACTTTATAAAATAGTAGCCAGTATAAATGGGGGATAACATGTTAGGTGGCACTTCAAATAATTAACAAAGTATTATGAAGCCAATAAACGAACTTAGGGTTTGGCTATGTTATCAATATACATTAACGTTAAGCTTTTGAAAATTTTTAAATAGAAAGATATCTTCTTTTTCTTACCAGATTTATAGTGTATGATAATTAAAACTGATATGTTCAACTACTTTAAAATTTTTGTAGAAAAATCCATAGTAATCAATACTTCTGTTGGTTATTTTTAAATAGTTGTAATGATGTACAAAATTTAAAAAATAGTCAGTCTTTCTCAGTTATGAATTGTCAGTCTGTATGAATGGCAGTGTTGTAAACAATGGCTTAATACACTGTGCCATAATTTCATAATTTCACCCTAAGTTGATTGTATTTTTCTGCTGGTAGCAGAAGAGATATTTCTGAGGAAATAGAGAAACTTTTTCAACTATACTAGAGTGAGCTTTTGTGAATGTAGTAATTATTACTTCATATCACTGTTTGAAAAGATCATTTCCCTTTTATATTATGTACATTTCCTAATTCACACAAGTTTATCTCTGTGATTCACATTACTTAATTTCTCTAGTTCTGTTACCAATGAACAACTCTTTATACGATAATAAAGCACTTTGGAATAAGATAGTTTAAAATTGTTCCTGAATAGCATGTATCCGTTGCTGAACTTTTCTGTGATTTTCTTTGACATTATCTGTTAGCTTCATCTTGGAAATGAGTACCCACAGTGTCCCTTTACCAAGTCATAATGGGCATTTTTCAGCAAGATCAACCTTCCTCCTGACACATTAAAAGACTCCCACTTTCGGCTACTCATTGGCACCTGAAGAAGTATTCCAACACTTAAGACAGATAATTACTAGCAACTGAACATTTTGGATTGAGAATTACTGATTAATATTATTTATTTTGAATTTATTTACATTCAGTAAGTCTGTATTCTGCAGATTCAGTTTTATAAAGTCAATATGTGTTAACTTTCTTTTGGTTCCTTCTAGCAACCTACCTAACTCCCAGCCTGCTTCGTATCAGAGACGACTTTTAGTTACTAGGTCTGGCAGAAAAATTAAAGGAAGAGGACCAAGGGTAGGTGATTTTTTTCCTCCCAGAAATTCTAACAATATTGAATTTATCTTCCTTAAGTAAGTGAAAAGTATTATAGATTTTGTTTTACTGGACAAGTTCCTAAGATTAGGCTGTTGTTACAGCAAGAGTGAAGAATATCTGACCCCCATAATATGTGTAAGACCTAGAAATCATGTGGGCTGGCCCTGCCAGAAAACCACAGTTGGGAGTCAGAATTCCATAAACCTATAGCAGGCTTGTTAATAATTTTGTGTGGCTCGTGAATGATGTTACAAATATCTAAACAGACCTTACTTAGCATAACAAAGTTTCCCCACTTCTGCTTTATAAAAACATTTATGTGTTGAGAACCATAATATATAAATGGGTTTATTTTACATATGAATTGTATAAAAGATGTTTAAATTTTATGCCCACTGTCTTGTGTTTTCAGAACTTTAGAGACTTCATTGTATTTCCTAAGTTACTCTTTCACTTCTTATTCTGCAAGGATTTCAGTATCTTCTTATCCTCATTATTTTACTTAAAAATACTGTTTTCATTGTGGTCAGCTCCATATCACAAAATCCAATGTATCTTTCATAATGTTATAGTTAATCTGCCTGTTTGTAACATTCTCTCCTTGTTGCTTTCATCATTTTCTTCTTTAAGCTTAAAGTTGTAGTTCATAGTATCCAATCTGACCAAGAAAATATTATAGTACTTAAGGGTTCCAACTCTTCACACTTGCTCCTTGGACAATTCTGATTACTGTTACGGCTGGCTGTTCAGTACCTTGTGCTGTTCTTGGCACACCTTCAGCCTGGCCTATTAGTTGAGCATAAACAGTTTGTCTTCACATCCAATCCTATTTCAGAGACACGTTTTCTCTCAGTAGCTCCTACCACCTGTTCAGTTCTTATGCCTAAAGCCTAAGAGTCATTTTAATTCTCCTTAATTCAGACTTCATATATCCCATTCATTCCCAAGTCCTGTCAATTTTATCTCTTAGTACTTTGAATTCATGTGCTTCTTTTAAGCTTTATTCTTGCCTTATTAGTTCTGTTCACTTTGTCTAATCTATAAATGGCTTCCTAGCTTGTGTTTTGCTAATTCTCAGATGTTTGAACTAAGATCTTCTTCACAAAGGTAAAAATTATTGAAGACCCACAAGAGCTTTATTAGGTTGTATCTATCAGTATTTATTCTTTTAGAGATTAAGATGAGGAGTAAGATCTTCCTGTCTCTACTCTCTGTATAGCTGACTTTGCAATAAAAATGAATAAATCTTTTTTTAAAAAAAGGTGAAGAGTATTTAAAGCACAGGCATATATAGGAACATATTCTAATGGCTATGAGAGCAATCGCATCAAAAACATGTAGTCTCCAAATAATTCCACTGTGTGCTAATGAAAGGGTAAAAGTACAAAAAACAAGTAATTATTTTTTAAGTAGTTGACCTCCTAGGATCACAGCTTGAGAATCACTGAACTAATCCTTTTTCTTCCTTTTCTTTTTAAAAGAGTTATTGATTTAAAAGGAAAAGTTACAAAGAGGAAGAGTGACAGATTGTTAATCTGTTGGCTCACTGCCCAAATGACTGCATCTGTCTGGGGCTTGAGCAGGTCACAGTGAGGAACCAGGTGTTTCTTCTGATTCTCCATGTGGATGCTGGGGCTTAAGCACTTTTGCCATCTTGGCTGCTTTCCAAGGCACACTAATAGGGAGCTGGACCAGCATTAGATCTTGAACTGCTTCCCTTATGGGATGTGGCAGGCAGGCTTTACCTAATATGCCACAACACTGGCCTCTAGTCTTTTTGTTTTGTTTTGTTTTTTTAAGCAGTAACCAAAAGGTACCATTTGAAAATAAAAATCTAGGAGCTGGCATTGTGGAATAGTGGAATAGGGTAAAGTTACCACCTCTGATGCCAACATCCCATTTGGGGGCCAGTTCAAGTCCCAGTGGCAGATATATTCAGGGGAAGAACTGGAGGAAGTTCCTCCCTCCTGGCTTTGGTCTCACCCAGCTCTGTCTGTTGCAGCCATTTGGGAATGAACCGGTGGATGGAAGATCTCTCTTTCTTTTCTACTAATGCTGTCTTTCAAATAAGTAAATTTAAAAGAAAATCTGGTTATATCCTTCCTTTAACATGTATATTAAGACAAATCCAAAAGCATTAAACTAGCCTACAAGATCTCAACTTAGTTCAGCTTCATTAGTATTGTCAAACATTGTGTTCCTTGACGATTCTTGACTTTTGCTACAGTTAATCTGTTCTCTAATAATTTCTGAAACATTCTGTTTCTTCTGCCTTACCAATGTTGCTCCTTGCTAATTCATCCTTATCTTCTTGCCCTCTGGGTAACTCATGAACATTTTTGTGGGCTCCTTTTTTGGTTTAGCTATTCATACTGCCGTACCAGACCAGATCTCTTTGCTTTATATTCTGTGAGAATCTCTTCTTACACATTCATTCTTTTTTAGCTGTACCTGTGTTTAATATCAGTGATTATCTATCCATGTATGTGTTCTCCTACCACATGGAATACAGTTTGAGGAAAGCAAAGTCAGATATTTCTTGGCTCTAATGTTCTGCAGTATATGGTTAGCCATCTCAAAGGCTGAGTAAATTTTAGCTGAATAAATGAGCATCTGCAAATTTACTGTTTTTCTCATGTGGGAAACATCAGACAAACGCACATACTCAAAACACAAACATGTATTAATTAGAAATTGGCAACTTTAAAGAGTTTTATATCTTGTATGTATGATTTAGCCAACACTTGGATAAGACAGGGCTCTTACATGGTAAAATATAAGTGGCTAAAGTTTCCATGGTTAATGTTTCTTATTTGGAGTCTGTAGTATTACTGCTTAAAATGTTTTATTAATTTCCTATTTGTACATTGAAAAATTTTCAAGGACATAGAAATATCAGTTATTTGGGTCTAGAAGTATAGACTTTAATATTTTTGTACATTAATTTTTTTCTCTTTTTTATTTTTTTAAGCGTTATCGAACTCCTTCCAGATCCAGATCCAGGGATCGTTTCAGACGTAGTGAGACTCCTCCACATTGGAGGCAAGAGATGCAGAGAGCTCAAAGAATGAGAGTATCAAGTGGTGAAAGATGGATCAAAGGGGATAAGTAAGATTTAAGTATATTACTTTTAAATATTGTGATAAGTATATTTTTTCCAGTGTGCATAGTGGCTTTTTAAATTGCCACTTTAATTATATCTGTGCCTATAGACAAATAGATTATTATTTTAGCTGAAACATAACATTTTTCTTTTACCTAGCAACATTTCTGAAAATATTTTTCCCTTATGTTTTAGGAGTGAGTTGAATGAAATAAAAGAAAATCAAAGAAGCCCAATTAGAGTCAAAGAGAGAAAAGTAATTGATCACAGGCATGTGTCTGAGAGTCCAAACAGAAAAAATGAAAAGGAAAAGAAAGCTAAAGAACATAAATCTAACAGCAAAGAGAGAGACATCAGAAAAAACTCAGAAAAAGATGAAAAGTATAATAAAAATAAAGTGAAGAAAAGGGCGAAATCTAAAAGTAGGAGTAAGAGCAAAGAGAAATCAAAGAGTAAGGAAAGAGAGTCAAAACATAATAGACACGAGGAAAAGAAGGTGAGATCAAGGAGTAAAGACAGAGATCATGAGATTGTTAAAGAAAAAGAAAAGCAGTCTGATTCTAAAGGAAAAGACCCAGAAAGGAGTAGAAGCAAAGAGAAGTCTAAACAATTAGAATCCAAAAGTAATGAGCATGATCATAATAAAAATAAGGAAAAAGATAGACGTGCACACTCAAAGAGTAGAGAACGAGATATAACTAAGAGTAAACACAGTTACAATAGCAGAACAAGAGAACGGAGCAGAAGCAAGGACAGGAGCAGAAGAGTGCGATCCAGAAGCCGGGACAGAGACAGAGATCGTAGCAGAAGCAAGGAGTACCATAGATACAGAGAACAGGAGTACAGGAGAAGAGGGAGGTCACGCAGCCGTGAGAGACGAACTACACCTGGAAGATCTAGAAGTAAAGACAGGAGGAGGAGGAGGAGAGACTCCCGGAGTTCAGAGAGAGAAGAAAGTCAAAACAGGAACAGAGAAAAATACAGAAACCAGGAGAGTAAGAGTTCACACAGAAAAGAGAATTTTGAGGGTGAGAAAAGAATGTACTCAAAAAATCGTGATCATAATAGTTCAAATAACAGGGAAAAAAAAGCTGACAGAGATCAAAGTCCGTTCTCAAAAATGAAACAAAGCAGTCAGGACAATGAATTAAAGTCTTCTACATCAAAAACTAAGGAGGATGACAAGACCAGCTCCTCGGCAGAAAAAGAATACCAAAAATCAAAGGGTCAAGAAAATGATCATGTACATGATAAAAATAAAAAATTTGATCATGACTCAAGCCCTGGAACAGATGAAGACAAAAGTGGATGAGTGAGTTCTGTAAACTTACTTCATTTTTTGTCTCAAATTTTAAGTTTTACAGACTTCCTGGTGAATCTCCTTTATGTTTTGTTTTCATTGTTTTTTGGGTTGTTTATGTTTGTCTTTTTTTTTTAATGTGGACTTCATTAAGTTGATCTTTTGATAATCTGTACCTGGATAATTTGTACTGCTAAAGTTTTAATAAACTTGAAATGAGAAAAACACTTTGGAGTAATACTGTGTGCTGTGTTAAACTCTTTTATGTATGCATTTTTGTGTTGCACCATCCAACCAGTAGCATTCCTATTTCTTTAATCATCTACTTGGAAACAGGCTTAATGATCATTGCAATACGTTGTCAACAGAAGTTCTTAGTTTTCATGATTAGTAATTTAGAACCTATCAATTAAAAATCTTCTATGGATTTTTCTGTTTGCATTTATAATGGCGAGTTGCAGCAATTTCTTTTAATTATACAGGAACAGGATTTTGTTGAGATCTTAAATATTTTTTTGATTCAACAGTAATTTGTGCTTTAAATAGATATTATGGCACTTTTTACCTTATTCTTTATGGTTTCAGCCTTGTCCATTTCATAGGAATACTTTTCCTGTCTGGTTTTGTTTTACTTAACTCATTTAAAATCAAAGTTTTTTTTTTTTTTTTTTATTTGATGGGCTGATTGAGTTTCTGTTGCTATTGTACAGCATTTGACAGGAATTATTCTTTGGGAAAACCAGATTGTAATTCTTAATTCTATGTTCAAATTGTTGCTTTTCGAGAACATGGCTTAACTGCTATTATTATTGCTATCTTCTTAAATGAAAAATACTTTTCTGACTAAAACATACTACTTGTTCAGGTCCTTAAGGTAGAGAGATTCTAAAAATTGTTAGTAATTTACAAATTAACTTCTAAGATCTATTGTTTTGGCCCTAACCGATATAATGTTGAGTGGTAAATCTGCATGGTTTTTTTGTTTGTTTGTTTTTTCTTTTTGAAGTGACTTCTATAGCTCATAGTTGTGAGTTCAAATGGCAAGAAAATGCATTTTTTCTATATGTGTACCAAGATAGGCTTTAGCATGTTTATGATTCTAACTTTTTGTTCAGCCATTATTGTTAGCTTAATTTTAATTTGGCATGTGTAACATTTCCATATAGAATAGAAAATTGCAAAAATTTGACAAGTTACAAAGTAAACATATCCAAAATCTATTCGAATGTGCATTGTATTTTGCAATTTTTGTGATGTGTTTCTGTAATATCTCTACTAAATAAAACATTGGACGTCCAACAAACACAAAACCTGCCTCATTTGAGAAGAATTTTCAAAATTCTGATTACTGTAGCCTCTTAAGTTTTATACTTTAATACTTGTCAATATAGAAATCACTCTACTACCACGTTGGTTTCTGGATAAATCAATAGCCATTCCAATGCTATTTGTACTGACTGAATAAAACAATGTTTAACTTGATATTTCCCAGTAGATTAATACAACAGTGCTACTTTTGGGTTATAAATTTGGAATACCTGGAAACAAATATCCACAGTGTATTTTTCCCCTAATGATAAAACTAGATGTTTATTAATAATCCAGGGTGATTTATTCCTTAGAGGATGATCAGAAACCTGTGTTTGTGATCATTTGACTCTTAGTGCCCAACCTGTATAATCCATTGTGTTGTTTAATCAAAATATTTTGTCCTATGTTCAGTGAATTGCTTTCAAGATCTGTTAAAAAATTATTCAGATTTCAAGAAAGATATAATCAAAGGAAGGATTTCTAATAAGTGATGCCTACATATATTTTTAAGACCATGGTAGGGAAACATACTTCTGTGTTTTCTGATCCCACAGTTTTATCTCATGTTTGGATAATCAGAGGAGCAACTCCATATTAAGTATTATTTATTTGCCTTCCCCACCCTCCACGCCCCCCTGACACATCTCCTAGCCTTGTTAGCTGCTTTGGCAAGTGAGGTGGTGAAGGAGTTGAAGTGAGAGTGGACAATCAACTGGATTTTATTGTTAGAATGATAAGGAATCTTAATTGAGCAGCACTAACCTCAACTCTTCGCATTGGAATAATACACAGCTCAAAATGGCCCTTTTCTTAATTTTTTTTGTTTATGCCATCTTTAATTTGTACTTTCAACATTGTTTCCTAAGAGTCAGCTATTGCATTTTCCCCACCAAATTAATTTAACTTTCATATCTGAGATTACATAGTTCACTTCAAAATAACTTTGGCTTGAAATCCTTTAAAGATGCATATATGTGTGTTTTGATTGGTGATTAACTGAAAATGTCTTCACTATGTGGGATTGCGATGTTTATATGAATCACATTTCTGGGTTAGCAGTCTACACAGGGATTGACAATAGAGAAACTGTTAAATATGCAGTAGAGAGGCTATTGGGTTCTAGAATATTCTTAAATTACTCTAGTTGTAATTCATAGAGCATTGCCATTTCTTTTAGGTTACTTAACTGATTCCCTCAAAATTTGCAAATAATTGCTTTGATAAATCCTTTTTTGTGTGTGATTCTAGTATATGTTGGCATTGCTAATGGCCTTTGATTTTTGTGCTCAGTGGAAGATGTACAAAACCAGTGAAGATTTCTTTCTGTTATTAGTAGGCAGACATTGAGTTTATTAATAGTGGTGTCAACAAATAATTCAAATGTATTTGTTAGTTAGCATTTAGAGCAAGTCTGTGTATCTTTTAGTACTTTATTGTACTTTGGTCCAGATGGCAATAGTTTTCATCATACTGAGATTTTTATATTAAATTTCTGTAGAAATTTGTTGAGTTTGCCTTCATTAAAAGGTACTTTATGTATGTCCCATATAATTGTTTTAAAGAAAGAAAATAGGTATTTTTCTGTCTACCTTTAATTTTGTTTACTGTTGCTACTCTACTTTGGAATCATACTTTGACAATTGAAAAAACTTCATGGACTGTAGGCTGATAACCTATTTATTGTAAAAAGTTGCGCTTTGTTACAAATATTTACAGGATTAGTAGAGTAAGCAAAAAGAAGTGCATCTTTAGCTGGCTGCCATCTTTAGTGGTCTTCCCAGCTGCATCAAAGGGAGTGAGACAAGTGAAAATTCACTGGCCTGTTGTGTGACAAGGTATGAAGTATTAAAGGAAAAGGAAAGCAAGTCATAATTAGAAATCCCATAAGCAGGGTTCAGAGGAAGTCGTGGGATTTTTTTGTTACAGGAGGAGTGAAGTAGTTCAGGGGTTGAGACTTTTTTTTTAAAAGCAAGTTTCGTTTTTCTAAAACCACATGCTCTGTGTTCCCCTTTTGTGTGATTAATGAATTGGGCATTTCCATGTGGGGATATTCAATGTTGTGGCTGCTCTCTGTGAAAGGAGAAAATAGTGAAGTTAATGCACTTCTTTTCATAGCTCAGAAGTCACTGTGATGTATATTTTTTTAATGAAATTTACAAGTAAAATTGTTGTCTTCTCAATTGTAAAACTAGCTTCAAAATGCTGCTTCTCTATTAGTTTAGTAACTGTTGAACTGTTTTCTGCATTTTACAAACTTTAAACTTCAAAACTGTATTAATTTTTATAGTTAAACATTGTATTAAATAAACTATGCTCTGTCAACAGATTGCTTTTGTATTTTTTAAAGTGTTACTAGTTTTTTGACCCTTATTTTTATTGAAAATCAGATAATGAAAATAAACCAACTGAAATACTTCTATCTTACCCATGGGGATGAAAGTTACATTTATTATGAGAAAGCTGAACAAAGAGAATATTGGATTTCTTTAAAAGTTCAGCTGTTGGCCACAGTGACAATGTTCAGGTTTAAGAATGTTTAGTATAAATGTATAGTTTTAATGCTTCAGATTGCACAGTGTCTTTTGGGTACACACACTTTTAAGGTTAATCTTAAGGAGTCTACATTACTATCTAGTAGAATACCACTTTTTCTCAGCATTGAGTAGACTAATATATTCTGTGCTTGTCAGTTTTAATATGTATAATTGTGAGGCCATATACAAATTTAATTTTGTAAAACCTTTTGTTTCACTTAAATTAGACATTTAGGGGGAAATTTGCCTAGTTAACTTGAAAGTTAGAAAACACACAGTGAGGATATAACATTCTGAACAATCGGGTTTGCATGTGTTAACAGGTAAGTAAGAGCACTAAACTCCTGCCATCTGGAGTGCCAGTGTGAGTGTTGCATAGGAGCTGTACAAACTATTAAATATTAAAATACTTTTGAAATCAAATTTGCCTTTTCTGATAACCTCCCATATTTCTTTTGCTAAAGCTATAACTGTTGATAATGATTTTTACGCTTTTTCTAAGGATTTATTTATTTTTATAGGAAAGTCAGATATACAAAGAGGAGAGACAGAGAGGAAGATCTTCGATCCACTGGTTTCACTCACCAAGTGACCGCAACGGCAAGTACTGCGCTGATCCGAAGCAAGGAACCAGGAAACTCCTCCAGGTCTCCCATGCACCTGCAGGGTCCCAAGGCTTTGTGGCCAAACTTGACTGCTTTCCTAGGCCACAAGCAGGGAGCTGAATGGCAAGTGGAGCAGCCAGGATTAGAACCGGCACCTATATGGGATCCTGGCATGTTCAAGGTGAGGACTTTAGCTGCTAGGCCACAGCGCCGGGCCCTATACCTTTTGTTAGTATTCAAGACACCTTGTTTTCACAGTTTGCCTTCAGAGTGATTTTATATACAGGTATCTTGCCAAACTGCCACATCACAACAGTTGGGTTTTTGCTTTGTGTGATGTACTACTATGTTTTTTTCACTGAATTGTTTTGTGATTAATCTTAATTTTGTTTTTAATGTGCTCAACGTTAGAAAGCCTAGCCCAGTTATAACTAAAGTTATGTAGTTAAGGACAAAATGCTAGTTACTTGTGTGCGTGTTTTCTCCCCTTATGATTTATTTTGTATTTCAAAGTCAGTTATTGGGGATGGGGGATAGAGATTGAGAGATCTTTCTTCTAGTGGTTCACTCCCCAAATGGCTACAATGGCCAAAGCTGACCTGGTCTAAAACTGGAAGTTTCTGGAAGTGTCCCACATAAGTGCAAGTGCCCAAGGCTTGAACCCTCTTCTGCTACCTTCACAGACTGTTAGCACGGAGCTGGGTTGGAAGTGAAGCAGCTGAAATGAACTGATACCCACATAGGATGCTTGCAGTGCAGGTGGAAGATTAACTAATAAGCCACTGCACTGGCCCTGTAACCTGTGTTTTAAGTTACCCTATACTCATCTAACAAATGTATGTCCTTAACCCTTTTGTAAAAATGTTTATTTCTCAGTGCAAAGATAGATCTAAAATTAGTGACTACAGTAGTCATATTTTTATTTAGAAAAAAAATGATTTGAAAGGCCAGAATACAGAGAAGAGAGAGACTAGTTCGTTCACTCTGCAGTGGCCAGAGATGGGCTGATTTGGTGATCCAGGAGCTTCTTCCAGGCTCCCACATGGGTGCAGGTGCCAGAGGACTTCAGCCGTCTGCTTCCCATGCCATAAGTAGGGAAATGGATTGGACAAGGGGAGCAGCCGGGACTCCTGGTGCATGTAAAACAAGGATTTATCTACTGGGTCAGACGCAACGCCTATAATGAATGTACATTATAAACTCGCCACAGGGCCCAGCGCGGTGGCCTAGCAGCTAAAGTCCTTGCCTTGAACACACCAGGATCCCATATGGGTGCCAGCTCTAATCCTGGCAGCCCTACTTCCCTTCCATATCCCTGCTTGTGGCCTGGGAAAGCAGTCGAGGACGCCGCAAAGCCTTGGGACCCTGCACCCATGTGGGAGACCTGGAAGAATCTCCTGGCTTCTGGCTTCAGATAGGCTCAGCTTGGGCCATTGCAGTCACTTGATGAGTGAAATCAGTGGATCAAAGATCTTCCTCTCTTTCTCTCCTCTTTGTATATCTAACTTTCCTATAAAATAAATCTTAAAAAAAAACAATAAGAAAAGGAAATCTAGAATGATTAACCTTGTGTTTTCTAAACAACCAGTAAATATATTGTAAAGTCAGACAATTGGGGTAAGCAGCTTTATTAACAAGTTATAAGAATATGGTCCATTTACATTTGTAGCTCATTTTCTATAAACATGGTCATTTCAATCTTAAAATAATTTTTCTACCATGTAAAACCCAGCCTTCCCTTTGACTTTTGAAAATTATTATATTTTGATCCTTGAGAGTTATAAAACGGAAGCTGGACTCCAGTATTATCATTAGCTTGATAGCTGGGTCTTAATCTTCCTCTGTCCACAAAAACTGGTCCACGGCCACCTCCGGGTCCTTCCTGTGCAGCTTTTACCAGAGGATATATGTATTTATTTGTTGATTCAGACTCAAACTTAATTACTTCCCTGGCATAATCCTGAAATTCTTTCTCCTTTTCAGCAGCAAGAGCTTCAGTAAGTTTGTAATAATCCAGTTCTGCTTGTTTTGCTTGTATTGCATTTAATTTATTTTTGGCCTAATTAGGAAAGAGAAAATACGATTTTTGTTAAAATATCAATTTTCTAAAAATGGGTATCATTTTCTGAGGTACAATTTTCTAAATTCAATTCATATTTTAAAAGTTTTGATTGAACTCCAAAACTTGGTTTTGGAACTCACGTTTCTCATGTCCAAAGTGTGGATTAGTAAAACTTAACATTGGGCATTTATGATCCATGTTCAAACAAGTAACACGCGTGAAACTCAGTTCAGAAACTCAGCTGATTATTTATAGACACACTTCAGTCATTTTTGCTATAAACTTTGGTGGTTTGGTAGGTGTAACGATCGTTGTCAGCCTAACCTGTGCATTATCCTGAAGGAATTCAATCAACTCCCCAGCATTCTGGGTCAACCCAAGACACAGTATTTCCCAGAGAACGAGATTAATTCATCAGCAAATATCTCAAAGAATTATACATTATGAAGTTGAAGCCATACTGACATTTATCAATGTAAGTTAACCAGAATAATTACTATTTCCCAAAAGCCAATTTACAGTGTTCATAAAAACAATTTTTTACCTGTTCATGTTATATATTGAATAGATTTATTTTAGTAACTTTTCTATGACATTTTGGGTAACTTTCCATTTTGTCTTAATTAGCAATTTTCAACTGCTGAGTTTATAAAAAATAAGTTATTTTGTGTACTTAAGAATATATGTAGTGGTCCTGACAGTATTTTTCAAAATCAAAAAATTAGGCAAATATAAATCAGTAGCCCAAAAAGTATTTTCCATAGATTGAAATTTGATAGAACAGAGAAACCATATGAATATCAAATTTCTGTTAGTGCTGAAATTCAAATTAAAAGCTTAAATGCTGTTTGTAGAATTGATATCAGAATGCTAATAGTTTGAAAAAAAATACAAGGTATGATTCAAGGGGCAGGGCCTTGGTGCAGCAGTATAGCCATATCAGAGAGTTTCTATCTTAGCTATGTTCGCAGTTCAGCTTTTATATGCACACATTAGGGGTGAAAAAGTGACAAGTTGTGCTCATGCCAACCATCTTGGAGACCCTGGACTGAGTTCCTGGCTCCTGGCTTCAGCCTGGCCCAGCCATCATCACTATTGGTGGATTGAAGCTGCATTAAGTGTAAATCTTTTTTTTTTTTAATTAAACACAGGGCCCAGTGCTACAGCCTGCTGGCCAAAGTCCTTGCCTTGCATGTGCTGAGATCCATGTGGGTGCCAATTTATGACTGACCATCCAGCTCCCTGCATGTAGCCTGGAAAAGCATTGGAGGACAGCCTAAAGCCTTAGGAATCTATACCCACACAGGAAACCCAGGGAAGGCTGGCTTCTGGCTCCAGATTGGCTCAGCTTCAGCCACTGCAAATAAATCTTTCAAAAAAAATTTAAATACTGGGGCCCAGTGTAGTAGCCTAGTGGCTAAAATGTTCTCACCTGGCACATACCAGGATCCCATATAGGTGCCAATTCTAATCCCGGCAGCTCCACTTCCCATCCAGCTCCCTGCTTGTAGCCTGGGAAGGCAGTTGAGGACGGCCCAAAGCTTTGGGACCCTTCCTGTGTAAGCGTAGATTTACAGAGAGAAGGAGAAACAGGAAGAACTGCCCACAGGTCCACTTCACAAGCAGCCACGATGGCTGGAGCTGAGCCAACCCGAAGCCCCAAGCCAGTAGCTTCATCCATATCTCCCACGTGGGCAAAGGGTTCCAGGTCCTTTGACCATCCTTGACTGCTTTCTCTGGCCACAAAAAAAGAGCTGCCTGAGGAAGTGGAGCAAACAATAGGGAGTGGCACCCATATGGGATATCAGCAGATGCAAGACGAAGATTCAACCACTAGACCATCTCACTGGGTCCCAAAATCGTTAAGAAAAAAAAAAAAACTATTAAGAACAAGTATTCCATTTCTGTCTGAATGCCACTGCCATCCTTTTGGTGCATCTGGTGAAACCCTGTAAATCTTAGACAGCGATGACAGTTCCCATTCAGGTTAGGTGGTAGAGCTACTGGAAATTGTCCTGGAGATTCTGGAAGTGAGCTGGGGGTGTAACAGCTGAAGTTATATGCCCTCCAGTCATCCCTCCTTTGTCCATGGGCCCTCTTCTGCCAGGTGTGCTATCAGGAAACTGGATCAGAAGCGGAAGTGCCAGGAATTGAACTGACACTCCTACATGGGATACCAGCATCACAAATAGTGGCTTAACGTGCTGCACCACAATGTTGGTGACCACTGACACTGTACAACAATCAGGAGCCAAAGACAGACCTTAGGAATATGCTCAGTTAATTTTCAGTATAACTCCCAGGGTCATTCATTGAAGAAAGTTTTGTTTACTAAATTGTTCTAGAATAACTGAACATCTGAAAAAAAATCTTTTATCTGATACCATAAATCAAACAAAAGTGATTCAAAAAGGTTATACTCAACATTTTTTTTTAAGTTGTAGAAAACAATAGGAGAAAACCTTTCATTTTGAGAAGAAGAGAAAATTCTCATTCACTGCTTCCCGCCCCTAAATACCCACAATGGCCGCGGCTGGACTGCACCTGGCCGAGGGGTGAGCAGCTGATCCAGATGTCCCCTGTATGAGTGCAACAGCCTAGGACTATTGTGCCATTGCCTTCCACTTCCCAGGGTGCGCATGAGCAGGGTGGAGTCACAAGGTGAATCCAAGCCCTTTGGTATAGGGTCTGAGTGTCCCAGGTACCATCTTTACTAGGTCCAAAACCTGCACCCGGTACAAAATATGTACAATCTAGTGTAGGTCGGTTTTTTCTGACTTCTGCAAAAAAGCAGGAGACAAGTATTTGCCCTAGATGCCAGTGCACCATTATCAAAGTGCCTCGGTTAGACAGCCTACTCCGCATCAACTTATGCACATCTCTGAGGAAGTGGCAAGAGCTGCTGAAATTGGGTTCCTGCTGTCTGGGTGTGAGTTGGACAGAGCTCACAGCTTGCAGGTTCAGGTTAGGCCACTCTGAGTAGTGTCTGGAAAGTGAACCAAGGATAAGAACATATTCTGTGTGTTCTCTCTCTCCTCGGTGAGGGTGTGGGTGTTCCTCTGCCCCAAATAACAATTTAAAAATACTTGTTCCTCAGAAGATATCATTAGCAAATGAAAAGACAAGTTGCAAATGGAGAAAAGATTTTTAAACATCTGACAAATATTCTTTCTAGAACATATGAACTCTTAAGGCTCAACAGTATTCTAGAAAAATATCCACGTGTTTACAGCCAAATTTTGACAAGGACACCAAGACCACTCAGTGCAGAGAGGACAGTCACTTCAACAAAAGCTGCGGGTACATCCACATGCAGAATTAAGCTGTCCTCTTAGGTAAGACCATATGCAAACACTAACTTGGAAGTGGGAGTTTGGTGCAACAGTTAAGCTGCTGCCTGAGTCATTGACTTCCCCTACTAGAGTGTGGAAATTTGAGTTCCCAGTCTGTTCTCCAACTTCCTGCTAATGTGGACAGCAGGTGATGGCTCTTGCCACTCCTGTTGAAGAGCCAACTGAATTATGAGCCCCCAGCTTCTGCCTGTCCCAGCCGCCTGGCTGTTAGGGGCTTTAAGGGAATAAATCAACAGATGGGATAGGAGATCTCTTTCATAAACATTAATTTAAAAATTAACTCTAAAAAATAATCAAAAACCTAAACTTTAGAGTTAAAACTATAAAATTACTAGAATAAAATATACAGGGAAAATTCCATAATGTTAAGTTTGGAAATGATGTCTTAGCTATGACATCAAATGCATTTTTTATAAAGATTTATTTTATTGGAAAGTCAGACACACAGAAAGGAGGAGAGATGGAAAGGAAGTTCTTCCGTCCACCGACCCATTCCCTAAGCGGCCACGATGGCTAGAGCTGTGCTGATCTGAAGCCAGGAGCCAGGAGCCTCTTCTGGGTCTCCCACGCGAGTACAGGGTCCTAAGACCTCAGGCTGTCCCCAGCCTCTTTCCCAGGCCACAAGCGGAGAGCTGAATGAGAAGCGGCGAAGCTGGGACCATAACTGCAACCATATGGGATCACAGTGCATGCGAGGTGAGGACTTTTAGCCACTAGGCTACCGACCCGGGCTCCATCAAATACATTTTTTTAAAAAGAGATTGGATTTAATATAATCAGTTTAGCAAAAATATCATCAATGGAGTAAAAAAGTAATCCATGGAATCAGAGAAAATAAAAGCTTTCTTACAACCCAACACCACCATCACCAAACCCAATTTAAAATGGACAAAAACTAGAGTAAACATTATTCAAAAGAAAATCTACAGGTTGGTCTGAAGGTAGTGAGTTATCACAATTAATTGTTCAGTGAGTTACAGCTCTAATTCTTTGTTCTACACCACCTTGCTCCACTACTGCTCTAGACTAGTCTTAAATACAAACACACACACAAGGTCAGTTAGTGCATGCAAATGAAAACCAGTCAGATACTACTTCATACCATTTGGGTGGCCATTTTTAAAAGGAAGGCAAGAAAGAAGGAAAACGGGAAAAGTGTTGTTTGCGGACAGTGGAACCTGCGTGCATTACTGCTAAGGCTGCAACATGGTCTAACTACTGCAAAAAGCAAGTGTAAGAGCTCATCACATAGAATATGTGATCAGAAACTCAACTCTGGCAATAGAGAAAAGAACTGAAAGGACCTGAGCAGATGCCTGTTACCCCGAGTTCACAGAAGTCAGGAGGTGAGAACAACCCAGAAATCTGCTTACAGGTGTATGGCTCACAAAGGTGGTGGATGCAGTCAATGGAATATCAAAAAGTAGGAACTACCTGGACAAGCCCCCAAGGGCTGCAGGGACAGGCAGACGGGGAGCTGTTTACTGTTCAGTGAGTGCAAGCTCTTAGGATTGAGTGACGAAAAAGCCCTGGAGGAAGTTAGTAGCGATGGTCCATGTAAGCATGTATAATGCCCTGAACCGTCCGCTTAAAAATGGTGAACACAGTAGATTTGACCCTGGGTATATTTTCCCATGGCAGAATATGTTAGTAAAGATACAACATTAAATGGCAACAGGTTTGACCAGACACTACACTGCAGAAAGCACACACATGATCAACCAGAACATGAAGACATTCGCGACTGCAGCCCAAGCTAGCACTGCACTAGAACAGCCAACACCAACGGCTGACAACAGTGCCATGTATTTGTGAAGATGGCCAGCAGCCTGTGCTTATACAAAGGCTGGTAGGGTTGGAGAATGACAGAGCCATTTTGGAAAAATTTTAGTCATACATGACATGATTGCCAGATCCTCTGAGGCCCACCACTCACCAGAAATCTGAAACCCCTAAGATTCCAAGCAACAGTCTATGGAATATTATAAACAGGCAGTAAAGGGAAAGAAGGCAGTAAAAGAAAATGAGCATGTGGCCTGTCACAGGGGGTGGATATTCTTCATTACGTACTAAAGCATTCTAGCCAGTACAGATCAGTATGTGTGTAAGAGGTAAGTCTAGAATATATGTGTGTGTGAGTGTACGCATACATATATGTTCTTACTCCACAGAACAAATTTCTGGGGAGGCAGAAACCTAGTACAAAATTCTGTGCTGCATATGTATTGTGAAAAACAACACATAAACATTTAGGAATAATTACCATCTGCTGAATGTGGGCGTCTTGAATTTCTCGGCGCTCCTTATCAGCTCTGTTTTTTTTCTCCTTTTCATGCTCCTTGAAAATCTGATCTGCTTCCAGGATAGCCATAAGATGTTCTTTAGACTCTATTTGTCTTTGTCTTTGTTCTTCCTCTTTATTTTTGATCTAGATGTTTAAAGGAAAGGGGAAAAAACAAAACGAGCCTTACAAGTAGCCCAACTGGTTTCAAAGCTAAATTCTGTGAGAGGCGAAGCTTTGTTCTTCCAAGGCGCCTTTGCATATCTGTAACACCTTTCCTTTCGTGATACAAAATTACCACCTTGAAAATGAGCCTCCTAGGCACAGCATGATAGTGTAGCAGCTAAAGTCCTCGTGTTGAATGCACTAGGATCCCATATAGGCGCTGGTCCTAATTTCGGCAGCCCTGCCTCCCATCCAGCTCCTTGCTTATGGCCTGGGAAAGCAGTTGAGGATGGCCTAAACCCTTGGAACCCTGTACTTGCATGGGAAACATGAAGAGGCTCCTGGCTCCTGGCTTCAGATTGGCTCAGCTACAGCCATTGCAGCTGTTTGGGGAGTGAATTATCAGATGGAATATCTTCCTCTTTGTCTCTCCCTCTCTGTATATCTGCCTTTCCAATAAATATAAAAATAAACTCAAAAAAAAGACTGAATTTTCAGTCTCCCATATTATTGTGTTGGCAGGGCCAGATCAAATGATTTCACACTTACATTGTCCGAGGCCAAATATTTCCCAGTTTTATACAAAAGGAAAAGTCAGGGCCTGGAGCAGTAGCCTAATGACTAAATCCTCGCTTTGTACATGCCAGGATATGGGTGCAAGTTCATATCCTGGTTGCTCCACTTCCATCCAGCTCCCTGCTTGTGGCATAGCAAAGTAGTTAAGGACAGCCCAAAGTCTTGGGACCCTGTACCAGCGTGGGAGACCCGGAAGAGGTTTCTGGCTTCCAATCGACTCAGCTCTGGCCGTTGCAGTCATTTGGGGAGTAAACCAGAGGATGGGAGATTTTTCTCTCTATCTCTCCTCCTCTCCGTACATCTGCCTTTCCAAAAAAAAAAAAAAAATTAATGGCCCGGCACGATGGCACAGTGGTTAAGGTCCTCGCCTGCCACACCTGGAATCCCATATGGGCACCAGTTCTATCCCGGCAGCCCCGCTTCCCTTCCAGCTCCCTGCCTGTGGCCCGGGAAAGCAGTCGAGGACGGCCCAAAGCTTTGGGACCCTGTACCCGTGAGACCCAGAAGAGGCTCCTGGCTTCGAATCGGCATAGCATCGGCCGTTGCTGCTCACTTGGGGAGTGAATCATCGGACGGAAGATCTTCCTCTCTGTCTCTCCTCTCTGTATATCCGCCTTTCCAATAAAAATAAAATAAATCTTTAAAAATAATGTTTTTTTAAAAAGTCAGCCAGAAGTAATGCAGGAGCAGAAAACTATGCACATAGATGGAGTCCCATATAGTTGGTTTACTTTGGTTTCTTTCCACAGTATTTTTTAAAAACGGGGAACATTAAATGAAAACACAAATAGAGTGATACAGACAAGTGTACCTTTTAATGGAAAAAACACAAGAATGGAAAAGCAGAATCTTCTTGCAGTAGGGAAATATTTGTAATGAAAGTTAATCATTACTATCAAGTATACCAATTATTTAGTTAAATGTTACAATAAGCCATAGCACAATGACTCAACTGGCTAATCCTCCCCCTAAAAGTGCTGGGATTGCATGTAGGCTCTGGTTCATATCCTGGCTGCTCCATTTCCCAATCAGCTGGTAGCCTAGAAAAGCAGAGGAGGATGGCCCAAAACCTTAGGGCCCTGCAACCATGTGGGCAACCCAGAGGAAGCTCCTGGTTCCTGGCTTCAGATTAGCTCAGCTTTGGCCACTGCGTCCATCTGGGGAATATGCACGTCTGTGGATGCAAGATCTTTGTCTCTCCTTTTCACTGTAAATCTATCTTCACAATAAAAATAAATAAAGCTTAAAAAAAATGTTACAAGAGGGCCCGGCAGCGTGGCCTCATGGCTGAAGTCCTTGCCTTGAACGTGCCGGAATTTCATATGGGCGCTGGTTCTGATCCTGGCAGCTCCACTTCGCATCTGGCTCCCTGCTTGTGGCCTAGGAAAGCAGTTGAGGACTGGCTACTGGCTTTGGATCGGCACAGCACTGGCCGTTGCAGTCACTTGGGGAGTGAATCAGCGGACAGAGGATCTTTCTCGCTCTCTCTCTTCCTCTCTGTATATCTGACTTTGTTAATTTGTGATGAAAATAAATAAATCTTTAAAAAAAATGCTGCAAGAGTCAGCTGTATGATATGTTTCTTTAAATGATTAAGAAAATTTAAATGTAATACAGTAATTTTTAGCTGATTTTAAAAATTTAAGAAATTTTATTTTTCTTTAAGAAATATTTTAAGTATATAACAATCTTTGCAGCGGAAAGGTTATGAAATATAGAATTTCTTTGCATCTATAAACATATTTTAAAATACATATTCAGTTATCTAAAAGACAAAGAGGTAGACACAAAGATCTCCCATCCACTTCTGTTCACTCACCAAATGCCACAATTCTAGAGCTGGGTCAGGCCAAAGCTAGGAGCTGAGAAGTCATTCTAGGTCTCCCAGGTTGGCAGAGGGTACCAGCCGCTTGGGCCATCACCTGCTGCCTAGCTGTCGGGGTGGGCATGAGGAGCAGGAAGCTGGGGCCAGAGCTGGGACTGGAAGCCAGGTTGTCCGACATGCAGGCATCCCGAGGTGCTTCCAGACGCTTAGGATGATTGTCCACCTGTACCTTCTGTTAGAGAGTAAACGTTTTCTGATTCCAAGATTCTAGGAAAATATAATACAGTGTCTGTCTCATCTCCAGCTAGTTTTTAGAGGAAAAGGTACTAGAAATCAAAAGTGGAAACGTCTGAAATCTATCTATTCTTCATTATTATAATAGAACACTTTACCACAATGTCTCTGTATTCTGCAATAGCATTTAATTCTGCTTGCTTTTTTTCATATTTTTCTTTTTCTCTTTTTTCCCATTCAGCTTCAATTTCTGCAATGTCTCTGGCAATAATCAAATCTTCATTGTCCAGTTTTTCTTTCATTAGTTCACTCAAGAAATTATTTATTCTTTCTCTTCGTTCTTCCATCAGCCTATAACAAAATAATCATTCTTGTTACATCTCTACGAGCAACCTTTTCATGCATCCAATATGATTTAAAGAGTCATGTATTTTACAAATTGTAGTTTTATAAAACAAAAAGGACCCCCATACTCCAAATATGTAATTGTTTTTATAAGTATAAAATAACATATTCTAAAAGCCAAAAGAGAGCAGTAAACATAATATGATCATGTGTAATGTTTAGAGGAAATAAGGTTCAAATCTCTGTACTGGAAGATATTTAACAGTATGTGTATTTCTGCTGCTTACTTGAGCAGTGAAAGTATAGGCTAACAAAAACTTTTTTTGTTAAGATTCATTTATTTTTATTACAAAGGCAGATATACAGAGAGGAGGAGAGACAAAGAGGAAGATCTTTCGTCCAATGATTCACTCCCCAAGTGACTGCAATGGCTGGTGCTGCGCCAATCCAAAGCCGGGAACTAGGAACCTCTTCTGAGTGCTGGCGCAAGGTCCCAAACCTTTGGGCCATCCTTGACTGCTTTCCCAGGCCACAGCAGGGAGCTGGATGCGAAGTGGAGCTGCCAGGAATTAGAACCACCGCCCATATGGGATCCTGGCGCATTCAAGGCAAAGACCTTAACCATTACGCTACTGCACCAGGTCCTGAATGCCTTCTAATAAGATAAATCTGCTTAGAAATAGCAGGTACACTAGGACAATCAACATACTGCGAGTACTTGATGAAACACGATCATTGACCTTCAGAAAAATGTTCTTTACATCAAGGCGAGGACTTTAGTTGCTAGGCCACGCTGCTGGGCCCTCAAAGACTTTACTTTAGCTAAAACTTGGGAAATAGTGAATAAGTTGTCTAAATCCTGAACAAATCCATCCTCTACATCCTGATGGATTTTCTTTAACAGTGCTTTGTTGGTTGGACCTGCCTGTGCATCTCTCTCCCTTTATGCTATGGGGCTCCTGACATCAGAATTGGATCGTCCTCTCTCTGGCCCAGGGCCTGACATGTGGCTGGTCCATCATAAACACATGTTGCACCAAAGTCACAATTTTATCAAATAAATTGGCAAAGCAGTATGTAAAAATGGTAAGAAAGGACAAGGAAATTATGATCTAAAGTGGAGTTAAGGCATATAGTAAATAACTATATAAGGCAAACATCATCAGAGATTTAGGAATTAATGGAAAAAAGAGGGACAAAAGCCACCTTCATAAGAAAGATGATTTTCAGGCCTGTGGAATAGCCTAGCAGCTAGAGTCCTGGCCTTGCACATGCCGGGATCCCTTATGGGAGCCAGCTCTAATACTGGTGACCATGCTTCCCTTCCAGCTCCTTGCCTGTGGCCTGGCAAAGCAGTAGAGGATGGTCGAAAGCTTTGGGACCCCACACACACGTGGAAGACCTGGAAGAAGCTCCTAGCTCCTGGTTTTACATTGGCTCAGCTCTGGCCATTGTGGCCACTTGGGGAGTGAACCACAAAAAAGGAAGATCTTCCTCTCTGTCTCTCCTCTGTATATCTGCTTTTCCAATAAAAAATAAATCTTTGAAAAAGATTTTTGCCCTCAGGGCTGGCACAGTGCCATACCGGGCTAATCCTCTGCCCATCTGTACTGACATCCCCTAAGGGTACTGGTTTGTGTCCCAGTCATTCCACTTCAGATCCAGCTCCCTACTAATGTCCTGGCAAAGTAATAGAGGATGAAAGAAGTCCTTGAGCCCCTCTACCCACATTGGAGATCTGGAAGAAACTCCAAGTTTCCAGCTTCCTATCAGACCAGCTCTGGCTAGTGCAATCATTTGGGGAATAAAGCATTGGATGGAAGATCTCTCTCTCCCTCCTCTCTCTTTGTTAACTCTGACTTCCCAAGTAAAATCAGTAAGTCTTTTTTTCTAAAAAATTAAAGTTTGCCCTCATGGAATCCTGGCTACTGCTGGTGAAGGGGAGTAAGCATATATAACTAAACAAGTTAAAGGAGCAGGTTTTGTGTGCTTTGGAAGTGAGCATCCCCTCAAGTGTACTAAAAGAATCCAGGGTAGGAGAGAAAAGGGAAGGAGACAAAAGTAGCAGGTAAGATCGCAGAGATGAGGCTGCGGACAGCTGCACATGGGGGCAATAGAGCCCAACGGTTACTCTTAAGACTCCTAAGTTGAGATGTAAAACAAGCTGAGGATTCTGCAAGGGCAAAGCATGATCTAAACATGTAGTGCCATGTGGCCTCTGACTCCTGACTCTCCAGCCCCATCCCAAACTGCTCTCTGAGGTGACAATGGCCTCTTTCTCTGAAGGACACTTCATCTGAACATTCTATTGAGTCACTCTACCGATGGAAGTATCTAACATTAATGCCTGCTTCCTTTCTGTTCAAACTCTCCTCCTTGACATCTTCCACTCTGGAAACTATTCTTTGGTCTTCCTATTATTCCTTCTCCATTTGATGCTTAAATATGGAGTTCCCCAGGAACCACCTCTCCTTCCTTACCTGCTCACCCTCCATTGCAACCAGCAATGGTGCAGTCTTATCCCTCTGCTGGGCAAACCAGTACTTCTGACCACCTGCCAGTATTTCCAGCCAGACAGATGTCCTGGCCATGCCAAAGGTTCTTCACCCCTCATGCCCCACACTGAAATTAAGTCAATAAATGCCCTGTTGCTCTCTTCTGGATGCCGGGAAGATGGTAGACATCCAGACCAAGGGCTCCTACCAGAAGCAGCCGACCACCTTCCAGAACAAGAAGCGGGTGCTGCTGGGGAAAATGGCAAAGAGAAGCTCCTGTGCTACTACAAGAACATCTGGCTGGGCTTCAAGATGCCCAAGGAGGCTACTGAGGAAACCTACATCAACAAGAAATGCCCCTTCACCGGAAACGTGTCCATCCGGGGGAGGATCCTGCCGGGTGTGGTGACCAAGATGAAGATGCCAAGGACCATCGTCATCCGCCGCAACTACCTGCACTACATCTGGAAATACAACCGCTTAGAGAAGCGCCACAAGAATGTGTTGGCGCACCTGTCACCCTGCTTCAGGGACGTCCAGATTGGGGACATCGTCACGGTGGGCGAGTGCCGGCCCCTCAGCAAGACTGTGTGCTTCAACGTGCTCAAGGTCACCAAAGCCTCCGGCACCAAGAAGCAGTTCCAGAAGTTCTGAGGCTCCGCTGCCTCTCCCCCACATGAAATAAAGTTATTTTCCCCATTTAAAAAAATAGAAATAAATAGAAATAAAGGCCCTCTTCATGTATAAACGATGAAACTGCCTATTCCAAAAGGTTACTTTCATATCCCAGCTTCTGAATTTTAATTTTAGATACCACTTTGCTTGTACAGTCATTTTAAAAGCTTACCTGTGTGTTTCAGCTTCTTTTTCTCTGCCCATTTGTGTGAGACGCTTTTTGGCTTTGATAAATCTTCTGATCTTTTCATCTTCCTCTTCTTGCTGCTGCTGCTCTACAGCTTTGATGATATTTTTATCATTCAAATGTTCCTTAGGAAAAAAGTGGACAGTATCCAATCACAAAATATCTTTCAATGCATCAACACCCAACAATAACCCACCCAAGGTTACCACTCTGGTTATTTCTCTCCTGGAAATTCACCCCAAAGAGATAATCAGGAAAGCACATAAAGGTTTATATACCATCCACTTTATCTCAGAAAAAAAACAAACTTGAAACAATCTAAATGCCCCATAGAGAAATGCTTAAATAAACCATAAGTCCAATGACATGAGAAGATAATACATTCAGTAAGATGACCGAAAGAGCAGAATGTGAAACATCATGGTATATTCCAATTCCACAAATACATGCATGTACAAATTTGTAATATATATATATGACTAGGAAAAATGTGCCAAATGTTAAAAGTAGTTATCTTTAAGATTTTTTTTTAAATTTTAAAGGCAGAGTTCCATAGAGAGATAACTTCTGTATGTTGCTTCACTTCCTAAATGGCCACAACAGCCAGGGCTGGGCCAGGCCAAGGCCAACAGCTTCACCTGATCTTCCCACAAAGGTGCAGGGCCTAAGGATTTGGGTCACCTGCTGCTGCTTTCCCAGGTGGATTAGCAGGGAAGTGGATCAGCCAGGACCTGAATGGGTGCCCATATAGCAGACCCACACTGCAGGTAGCAGCTTAACACATAATGCCATAGCATGGACCCCAATTTCAAAATTTTACCTCGGCAGAAGCACCATGTTCCTGTAATTCACCAAAATGAGGAACTCAAAGGAAAAGGAGCAAGGCACTAGATACAAGTTCTCCAAGCAAGTAAGAAAACCTGGCCGAGTTCCTTTGCACAAGTACATGTGCATTCAGGAGAAAGGTGACGTTGTAGACTTCAACAATGAGAACTCTTCAAAAAGGAATGCCCATATGTTACTGTGGCAACGCTGGAAGTCTGCAATGTAACCCAACACTGTTGAAAACAAGGGCAAGATTCTTGCCAAGAGGATATGTGTATTGAACAAGTTAAACACTCTTAAAAGCAGAGACAGCTCCACAAAATGTGTGAAGGAAAAGGATCAGATGAAGAAGGAAGCCAAGGAGACAGGGACCCGGGACCAAGTGAAGCTTCAGCCTGCTCCTCCCAGAAGCCCACATTGCTGGAGCCAACAGAAAGGACCTGAGCTGGAACCCATTCCTATGAATGCATGGCATACTAAGTGTAAATAAAATCAACAGGTACATAGACGACTTCTAGAATACATATATAAAACCTTCCATAAACTCCTTCTAAGGAAGCTGTTCAGATGGATTTTAAGGGAGTAATCCAGCCAAAATGAAGACATGGGATTCAGGAGATGGGAGTAGTGGCCCTGGAATGTGACACAGGATGTCCCAGGATGACCACTATGCAGCAGCCTTAGCACAGATGCAGTCCAGAGGAAAGAAACCATGAAGGATCCTGGATGGGGAAGACCCAAGGAAAAATAAGAGCACTTAATATACTTAGCTGAACACCAAAAACCAGTAATGAATACACATTTATTTATTTTTTCCCTAATATGTAATTGGTTTTATTTGAAAGGCAGGTTTTTTTTACAAACAGAGAAGGTGAGACAGAGATTTCTGACCCGCCATTTCACTTCCCAAATGGTTGCAACAGCCAGAGCAGAGCTATTCCAAAGCAGGAATTCAGGAGCCTTCTCCAAGTCTCCCAAATGGGTACAGGAGTCCAGACTCATACCAGGCTCCCTGGTCTCCAAGACCATCAGCAGAGAGCTGGATTGGAAGTGGAGCAGCTGGGACATGGATCAAATATCCGTGTAGGATGCCAGTGCTGCAGGTATAACCGGCAATGCCACCATGCCAGCCCCATGAATATACATTTCTTAAAAGATTTATTTTTATTATTTTTTTATTGGAAAGGCAGATATACAGAGAGGAGAGACAGAGAGGAAGATCTTCCGTCCGCCGATGCTATGCCGATCCGAAGCCAGGAGACTCTTCCGGGTCTCCCACGCGGGTGCAGGGTCGCAAAGCTTTAGGCCATCCTGGACTGCTCTCCTGAGCCACAGGCAGGGAGCTGGAAGGGAAGCGGGGCTGCCGGGATAGAACCAGCGCCCATATGGGATCCCGGGCGTGCAAGGCGAGGACCTTAACCACTTGCGCCACCGCGCCGGGCCCATGAATATGCATTTAACACATCTTACTGAACAAATGGAAAAGGCAGATCACAAAAACTGACCAGAAAAGGATTTAAAGAATTGAGTCAAAACAAATGAAAGAAAAGGCAATAATTTTAACCACAGGAAAAGGAACATATATGTAACCAAAGGAATATAGTGACAGTATATTACTTGGCTTTGCAGAGAAAAATACTTATATAACTACAATGGTGATCTAAGTAAAACTGTGACACGTTTAATGGTACAGGGAGGATGACAAGGGCAATAATGAAAAAGAGATAAATCATCAACTATAAGGACTGAGAGATCGAAAAGATCCAAAACTGCAAAATCAAGAAACAACATTTAGAATCTGTGGTTTAAAAATCTAAACGTAGGGTATTTAAAATAGCATTTTCTACCACAAGAAACAAATATAAACTTAGGATATGATTACTTCCAGGAGGCAACAAAAATTATTCCTCTTTTAAGAAATGTGGGACTGCTTGATAAACATCAACTCTTTTAAAGATTTATTTATTTTTATTGGAAAGGCAGATTATGGAAAGCAGAGACATTGAGAGAAAGATCTTCCATCTGCTGGTTCACTCTAAATGGTTGCAACAGCTGGAGCTAGCCGATTCAGAGCCAATCTTGTGTTTTATATTACTTAAAAATGAAAATGGATCTTAAAGAAAAATATTAAAAAGTGTGAAATAAGGGCATGGTGTGATGGCTCAATGGCTAAATCCTTGCACTGTACATGCTAAAATTCCATTTGGGCACTAGTCTGTGTTCCAGCAGCCCTGCTTCCCATCCAGCTCCCTGCTTGTGGCCTGGGAAAGCAGTTAAGAACAATGCAAAGCCTTGGGACCCTGCATCCGCATGGGAGACCCAGAAGAGGCTCTGGCTTCAGATGGGCACAGCTCTAGCTGTTGCAGCTACGTGGACAATGAACCAAAGGATCAAAGATCTTTCTGTCTCTGCCCTCTGTAAAAAAATAATTAATGAACCTATCAATATTATGGTTTTTGATGCACGAGACCACATCCTCAGAAACGCATGGCAATTAGACAGCAGGTGTGTAGATGGATGGATGGAGTCTCAGAAACACAAGTTAAAGCAACCCCTATTATTTTTTAAGGACATATTAGAAGCTAGGCAAAATTGCCCTAATTAACTATGTAAAAATTGTCAAAAATAAAGAAAAAAAAAGTTAGGCAATTGCCTACTTCGGTTCTGGCCAAGCGTCTAAGAAACCCAGTTGGAGTTGCTGGTTCTTGGCTTTGGGCTGGCCTAGTCCTGGATGTGGCAGGCACTTGGGAGTAAACCAGTAGACAGAGGATCAATGTCTCTTATCTCCAACACTCTGCCTTTCCAATCAATCAATCAATAAATAAATCTTTATTTTTAAAAACTATGCATTTGACTTTATAGTTTAACATCTGTATTTTCAACCTACAAAAAACAGTCTCCTGCTTTCATGCATCTCTTCTTTCTTCTTTTTTAGTTTTTTCTTCATTTCTATTTCATATAATAAATTCTGTCGCTTTATTTCCTCAGCATCTTTTTCTTCATGCTTTCTCCTTCTTTCTTCTTCTTCTTCATGTTCTTTTATTCTAAACCATAAAATAATTAAAGCAATGCAGAAAAACTGTATTTTTACAACACTCATTAGATGCTAACCTGGGATGATTTAAAGCTGTAATAAAAATTCTTACTTTCTTTTGAGAAAAGGACAGACATTGAAGAGCAGTGGCTAAAACTAATCCAATCTTGGCAAAACTGCCAATACTTTCCTGTCTACCTAATTTGCTTCATTTCTCACTCAAAAAACTTGTGCCAGGTGCAAGTGTCTCTTAAGAATATTAAGAATGGTGACATTATTGTACCAAAGTCCAATCTCAAGTTCCCCAACTGTAGTACTAGAAGTCATACAACATAAGCCCTGCGTCTAGCCCACCAAGAGATGTGAGACTTGCTGGGCGAAAGGAGACAAAGGTCTCCTTGGCCAAATGCCACTTTGACAGTTATTCTTTCTACAGCCCAGGCTGCATAGCTCTCCGTGCTGGCTGAGAGGTATGCCTCCACATAAGCTGTCTTTCACAGCTCCAAGAGGGGCTGTCTTACTGCACAGCCCTCCTCTGGGACACGGGCCTCTATCTCTGCCTCTCAACCCATCTCACCACCAGGCACTCCCACCATCAGTAGTTTATTGCAGACCCCAGCTCTAAGGGAGCTCTCATGGGCAGCCAGCTATGGCATGGCAGCACACACCTGTGCTGCCTTCTTGCCCATGGCAGACTCCTGCGTTCTGTTGACCAGTCAGCAGGTGTGTAGGCTGTTCCAATGCCACTTGGCTCTGGCAGGCAGGCAGAGGGAATACTACTGAGGAATACTACTTTGGGCAGCACTCTATCTAGAAAATGCTTTCCATAGAGTTCCCCCACTGAGCTTCAGTGAGGAGCAAGTTCCCTTCCCCTTTGCCAGGGAGAGCTAGTTGTTGAGTCCATAAGTTCACCCAGTTATTGTCAAGCCAGCTCAGGAGAGGAGACTCAGTCCTGACTGATTCCTCGGTGTGGATCAAGCAGCTTGAGAGTCAAGAGTTGCTCTGTTTAGGAAGAACTAAGGAGACAGTCATCACTGGCCACAGTGAAAACAGACTTCAAGTTCCCCCAAGAAAAACTTAATTTTCCAAGAACACTGTTCATTTATTAAAACAATGCAATATTTTATTTCCAGTATTTCTTAGAAACCAATTCTCAGGTCAACAGTCAAGATTTAAAGGAGCACAGCATAGCAGCCTAGCAGGTAAAGTCATCACCTTGCACCCATTTGGATCCCATATAGGTGCTGGTTCTAATCCTAGCGACCTTGCTTGCCATTCAGCTCCCTGGGAAAGCAGTGGAGCATGACCCAAAGTCTTGGGCCCCTGCATCTGGGTTGGAGGCCTGGAAGAAGATCCTGGCTCCTGACTTTGGATTGGCTCAGCTCCAGCTGTTATGGCTACTTGGGGAGTGATTCAGCGGACAGAACATCTTCATCTCTCCTCTTATCTGACTTTCCAATAAAATAAATAAATAAATAAAAGAATAGGGTCTGGCACATTGGCTCAACAGACTAACCCTCCACTTCAAAATGCCAATATCTTATATGGGCGTTGGTTCATGTCCTAGCTGCGCCACTTCTCATCTAGCTCCCTGCTTACGACCTGGGAAAGCAGTAGAGTATGCCTCAGGTCCTTGGGACCCTCTATCCTCATGGGAGACCTGGAAGAAGTTCCTGGCTACTTGATTTTGGAAACTCGAAATCCTCCTCTCCCAAAATTTGTTTTCAGTGATCTAAAACTTCATTCCTTTTTTCCTCAACATTCATTTACACTCTTAGGAGTTCTTTCATATATTTCCCTCCTAACTGGCTATTGAAGTTTCCTGACTTCTTATGAGGGGGATTTTTCATCTGCAGTATAAGTCATAATTTTGTTTAAAGATTATTTGAAAGGCAGGGTTACAGAAAGAGAGGAAGAGAAAGGAAAAAATATATTCCATCCACTGGTTTACGCCCCAAATGACCTTAGCAACTAGAAATGAGCCGCTTTCTTGGGTACATTAACAGGGAGCTAGATTGGAAGCGGAATATCCAGGATTCAAATCAATGTCTTTATGGGACGTCATCACACACACTGGCTTTACCCGTTAGACTGCAATGCCAGCCCCAGACACCAGGAATGTTTACTTTTTTTTGCTTTTCCTCTTGCCTTCTTATGAAGACTTTCTGTGTTTCCATAAATAGTTTCTTGGGCCCGGCACAATAGCCTAGTCATTAAGTCCTTGCCTTGCATCCACTGGGATCCCATATGTATCCCGGCAGCTCCACTTCCCATCCAACTAGCCTGACTGTGGCCTTGGAAAGCAGTATAGGATGACCCAAAGCCTTGGGATCCTGCACCCATGTGGGCAACCCAGAACAAGTTCCTGGTTCCTGGCTTCAGATTGGTTTAACCCTACAAGCTTGTTCTCTTGCTTCTGTCAATACCATGTGACAATTTCCACCAGGGAGCTGCATCATGCCAAACCTTAAATGCATACATGTGGAGATTAGAACTCTTCCCCACAGCAAGGAGAGAATCGAACCAGTCCTACAGTTCGTTGAAAATCTGGCCACCTAAGTCTAGGTTAGATCAACCAACGCCATCTAACACACAAACACATGGGATAAATGTTTATGGGTACACATCACTAGAATCTGTGGTTGTTGTTAGTATTATTTTGGCAATAGTAACCAATCTATAATCTTCGGTTAAGGGAACAATTGGAATTTAATCCTCAGACTCTTTTTGTACTAAGTATTTTAATATGCATTACTTTTATAGTAAAATAGTGCTATATTTATTATGAGAAGACAAGGTACGAACTGTTAGTTTGGATATACATACTGTTTAAGGTGATCATTAGCAAGAGCCACCCTTTCTGTCCGTTGTTTTTCTGCTTTTTCTTGCTCTTCTTTAAAAGCTTTCTGAATATCAAGTTTCATTTGTTCTTCCCATTTTTTGTCTGACTTTATCTTAGACTTTTTGAATTCAATCTGGGCATCACGTTCTTTCATAACTCTACTAAGAAGAAGTCCTGACTACAAAAAAAATGGAAGTATTTTAAGAAATGATGTTTATACATAGATAAGCTAAATATATGTATATACAATGTATGCATAAAACTAAGAAAATTCAAGTATTACATGAAAATTTTTCACTCTTTCTGTTTGGAAAAATTGATACTGTTTTGCATGTTCAATGGCCTTCTTTCTTTCTCTTTGTTTGTATAGTGCTTCTTCTATATCAAGAATTTGTCTTTCTGCCTCAATTTCTTCATCACGCTTTTTTTTGGCTTCAAGTTTCTGCTCTTTCATTCCCTACAGAAAACAAAATTATTATTTTCCAAAATAATTTTTACCAACAATAATTGTGTACAACTATTAGCCACAGTGTGGCATTCATATCACATTAGCAGGTAACAAGATCAATATTATAGTGTGCTATCTCATACAATGACCATACTACGCAACAATGAAAATAATTGATCATGGGCCCGGCAGCATGGCCTAGCAGCTAAAGTCCTCACCTTGAACGACCCGGGATTCCACATGGGCACCGGTTTTAATCCCAGCAGCTCCATTTCCCATCCAGCTCCCTGCTTGTGGCCTGGGAAAGCAGTCGAGGACGGCCCAAAGCCTTAGGACCCTGCACCCGCATGGGAGACCTAGAAAGAAGTTCCTGGTACCGGGCTTCGGATCGGCGCAGTACCAGCCCTTGTGGTCACTTGGGGAGTGAACCATCAGACGGAAGATCTTCCTCTCTGTCTCCTCCTCTCTGTATATCTGACTTTACAATAAAAATAGTTAAATCTTTTTTTTTTTAAGATTTATTTATTTTATTGGAAAATCAGATATACAGAGAGGAGGAGAGACAGAAAAGAAGAACTTCCATCCAATGATTCACTCCCCAAGTGACTGCAATGGCCGATGCTATGCCGATCCAAAGCCAGGAGCCTGGAACTTCTTCTGGGTATCCCACACGGGTGCAGGGTCCCAAGTCCTTGGACTGCTTTCCCAGGCCACAAGTAGGGAGCTGCATGGGAAGTGGGGCTGCCGGGATTAGAACTGGCACCCATATGAGATCCTGGCGCGTTCAAGGTGAGGACCTCAGCTGCTAGGCCACGCCGCCGGGCCCAAAATAAATAAATCTTAAAAAAAAGTATACACTGTAAATATGTTTACATTATGTCACTTATTCTTAGACAAGCTGCTGAAAATGGTTTTTAATGTACTTTATGAAATTTTACACACTAAAATAATCATAAAAGAAGCATAAGAGAACTAAGAAAGCAGAGCCCATGGATGTGTAATACATCAGCAATACTTACTGCATATGTATTCGTCCAGTGTTTTACCACTTCTTGGGATCGCAAATGCATTTCCTTCTTGGCCTTTCTTTCTGCACGCAGAGATGCGGCTTCTCTTGTCAAACTGTCAAGGCTATCCTGAATCCTTTTCCACTCATCGTGTGGAATTATGGTGACCTGGCGGAGATCTACTTTGCTAGGTAGAAGAGGTGGATAGGAAACTTGGTCTTCTTCAAACTTTCTTATTCCTAATAAAAATTTAAAATGATTATTAGAAAATTTCAGGGAGAATTTAAGTGACTTTTTTTCTCAGAAATATTTATATTGTCATGCTACCTGAAACTCAGTCCAAATGCTTAATGTACTCCTGTTATTGTTTTTTTTTTAAAGATTTATTTTTATTATTATTTTTATTGGAAAGGCGGATATACAGAGAGGAGAGACAGAGAGGAAGATCTTCCGTCCGATGATTCACCCACCAAGTGAGCGCAACGGCCGATACTATGCCGGTCCGAAGCCTAGAGCCTCTTCCGGGTCTCCCACGCGGGTGCAGGGTCCCAAAGCTTTGGGCCGTCCTCAACTGCTTTCCCGGACCACAAGCAGGGAGCTGGATGGGAAGTGGGGCTGCCGGGATAGAACCGGCGCCCATATGGGATCCCGGGCGTGCAAGGCGAGGACCTTTAACCACTTGCGCCACCGCGCCAGGCCCTACTCCTGTTATCTTAATAGCTAGCAAGGCTAGTGTGATATAGCACGTTAGGCTGCTGCCTCTATTCCACATGAGTGCCAATTCAAGTTCTATCTGCTTCACTTCTGATCCAGTTCCCTGACAGTGAGCCTGGGAAAGGAGCAGACGCCAGTCCTGCAGCCACGTGAAAGGCCTGAAGGAAGCTCCTGGCTTCCACCTGCCTCAGCTCTGGCCATCGCTGCCATTTGGGAAATGAATCAGTAGATGGAGGATCATCCCTTTCTGTGATTCCCTCTCTCTGTGACTCTACCTTTCAAATAAATGAATAAATCTCTTAAAAAAAAAAAGGAGCAGTGGAACAGTTAGCATTCAGTTCACAAAAAGCAAGAGCTTGAAATAACAAAACATGTTTGTTTGCTCATTTCCTTACTACCTAAACTTTGGGGGGAGGGGAATGGATAAATTTGAGGATGTTCACCTTTGGGGACTGTACACTGCAATTGACTATTCAATCTACCCCACTGAGGAGCAGCAGTTCAATCTGAGAAATGACCAGAGTGCCACGGTGGATCTAATTCACTTCAGAATGTTTGCATCTCTCTTGCCAACAACTGTTTGTCTACTAATCAAATAACTCTCTACTAATCAAAACAAGAGGTGTATTTGGGCCTGGCAGCATGGCCTAGCGGCTAAAGTCCTCACCTTGAAAGCGCCGGGATCCCATATGAGCGCCGGTTCTAATCCCAGCAGCTCCACTTCCCATCCAGCTCCCTGCTGTGGCCTGGGAAAGCAGTCGAGGACGGCCCAAAGCCTTGGGACCCTGCACCCGTGTGGGATACCAGGAAGAAGTTCCTGGTTCCTAGCTCAGATCGGCATAGCACCGGCCGTTGCAGTCACTTGGGGAGTGAATTATCGGACGAAATGTCTTTCTGTCTCTCCTCCTCTCTGTATATCGGACTTTCCAATAAATAAATAAATCTTTAAAAAAAAAAACAAGAGGTGTATTTGCAACGTTTGGGAAACTTCTTCCCTTTTATTTTTTAAAGATTTATTTTTGGACCCAGCATGGTAACTTAGTGGTTCAAGCCTTTGCCTTGCACGTGCTGGGATCCCATAAGAGCGCTGGTTCTAATCCCAGCTGCTCCACTTCGCATCCAGCTCCCTGCTTGTGGCCTGGGAAAGCAGTCAATGAAAGTCCAAGGACTTGGGATCCTGCACCCACATGGGAGACCTGGAAGAAGCTCCAGGATCCTGGCTTCAGATCGGCACAGCTCTGGCCATTGCAGCCACTTGGGGAGTTGGTCAGTGGATGAGGGATCTTCCTCTTTGTCTCGCCTCCTTTCTGCATATCTCACTTTCCAATAAATAAATAAAATAAAATAAAGAGATTTATTTTTATTATAAAGGCAGATTTACAGAGAAAGGGGATATATAGAGAGAAAGGTCTTCTGTCCACTGGTTTACTGCCCAAGTGGCCGTAATGGTCAGAGTTCAGACCACCCAAAGCCAGGAGCTAATGCTCTTTAGGCCACTAGGAGAAAGCTGGATGGGAAGTGAGCCGGATATGAACTGGCACCCATATCATATCCTGGAGAATCCAAGGCCAAGATTTAGCCACTGGGCCACCACAGCAGGCCTACTTCTTCCTTTTTCTTTTGGGAGAGACATTCAGGAGACTCTCAAGCTAGAAGTGACCAGGGAAACAAAGATGGGCAGCAGTCATTCTAGGAGCACAGGAGGGATGAAGCCTTGGTTGCAGCTGTAAATGGCCAACTATAGAAAACAAAGGAGGCACCTGGGCCAATGATGAACTCATTGTGTTGTTGGTAATCCAGCCCAAAGCCTGTGAGTCCTGCTGTAAGTGAATAAACTTCCTGGCATCTTATATTTCTCTGAGGATTTACTCATTTTTTCAAAAAAGATTTATTTATTTTATGTGGAAAGTCAGAAAGACGGATCTTTCAAATACTGTTTCAGTCCCCAGTGGCCTCAACAGCCAGAACTGGACTGGTCTGAAGCCAAGAGTCAGGAGCTTCTTCCAGGTCTCCCATGTGGGTACAGGGATGCAAGGACTTAAGCTATCCTCCATCGCCCTCCCAAGCCATAAGCAGAGAGCTTGGTCAGGATGTGGTGCAGCCTGGACAAGAACTGGTGCCCACATAGGATGTAGGCACAGGAAGGCTGAGGATGGCCCCAGGATTTACTCATTTTATATCACATTTTTCCTCTTTCTGGGTATCTTCAGACTGTAACAGACTATGCAGGCCTGCTAAGGTCTTGGCCACACCTTCAGGTGGGGACACCAGCATTGCCCACCCATTTGCTAACTAATGAAGAGACAACCAGTGGGAAACATCTCACCTGTAGGTTCCCGCCCAACAAGGAGGGATCAGGGAATGCTTAAAAATTCCAAGACCCTTCCATAGACTCCTTGGTGTCTCCCCCGCTTTCGAGAGGCACCCCACCTCCCAGCTTTCTCTCAGGAGGTGCTTTTCCCTTCCCTCTTCCTTCCCTGCTCACCTGGTCCCTTTCCAAATAAACTTTTCTGTCTGCAACAGATTCCTGGCTTTTTATTTCTATACTAAGCTGAGGAAAGAACCCACCAGGCATTTCTGGTAACAATAACCTCAACTCATGCATCTTCAAGCATACTGCCTTTTTTTTTAAGCAAAAAACAAAACAAAACAAAACCCACTATTTAAACCTATCTAGTGATTTTTTTTCTCATTTAATTTATTGTGCTTTTCAACTCCAAATTTTATTTTGTTCCTTTTAACAGTTTCTTTCTCTATTAATATCCTACTTGGTGAAATGGTCTTCACAAAACCTACCTACATTCTCTAGAAAAATGATTTAGTTCTTCCATTGTATTTACAATAGTTATAAATTCACAAAAGCTATAAAGCTGCCATTCCTGTAAAAAGCAAAAGTTTTTTTCTAGTGTGTTCAACATCTGGTCTTCCTTAGAGTGTTTTTAATGAAACTTTTCCTATGTCTAAGCCATTCTTCATTCCTTACAATTTCTTAGACATTTCAGATCTGGAAACCAGATCCTCCCCTACTCTACATGTATCGTTCCTGGTGCTGCTTGACTAGCGACTTCCAGCATTCTGTGTCGTATGTGGCTCTGCTGGGGTTAGTGGTCAGCTTATGAGTAAACAGGTTTCCCGCAAAATATTAGAACAAGCATCCCAGACTCTGACAAAGGGCTACCAATGAGTGCTGAGGCATGCTGTATTACCCAGGAAAGTAGTTCACAATTCCCTCTTAGCTTTTCTTTACTTCTTTTGTTTTCCCCCCATGGAGCTGCAAGCTCAGCAGGAGATTAGAGCTTCAGGCATGTTCAGGTCTTTAGCCAGAATATGCTAAGTTCAGAGCAGGCATGTGGCCTCTAGATTTCCAGGAATACAATATCCAGAGCTTTTCAAAGCCCCCTATACAATCTCATTTTCCAGCTATTCCCTTTTAAGCTTGTTATTTTCTCCAAAACAGTGGCCTATATGTGTCCATTTTGTGCTGCTATATAAATACTTGATACCAGGTAACTTCCATGGGCATGAATCTGCTGGCTCACAGTTCTTGAGAAAAGGAAACAAAGATGCCAGCTTCTGCAGAGGGCATGCTGGCTGCATTGTTACACTGTGGAAAGTGACAGGTGGAGAAAGGGCAAAGAGAGGTTGAGGGAGAGAGGGAGTAAGAGGGAGCTTAACCTCCCTTTTTTACAGCAAACTCTCTACAGTTATGTCATGAACCCTCATGAATCCATCCACTCCAGCTTCATAGCCTGATCCTCTAACACGAGGACCCACCTCTTAACACTGCTGCATTTGGAAGTAAAGCTTCCAATACATGTTTTTGGCAGAATATATTCAAACCACTGCCTATGATATTAACAATTGCCACCAACCCTTTTGACAAGGATACTCCATGGACTCTGAGTCAAGTCAAATAACGACAAGCTTCAAGCCTAGATTTTCCCAACGGCCTGCCAGACATGCAAATAATAACAGTTATAAGAGAGATGAGTTTTGGAGAGAATCAAAACCTGGTCCGGTCCCTCCACACAGTGCTAAGACACCAACTTTATCTGACCACTGTGGCTTTCTACGCTACTGGGAGACTGGGAGAAAAGTATGGAACAAGAGTTAGGTAAAACACTGAGGAATTCACTGCTAATACAAGCATTCAACCATTTTTCTTGGATAAGATTCCTTTGATTGTCTTTTGCCTCTGCTTAACAATTGGAGTTCTAAAAATGTTGCTGGTATTTTCACTGATTTTTACAAAGAAAAGTATTTTTAGGGATATTTATTCTATAACTCTGGCCAATGTTCCCTACTAAATCCTTACAGAGTTATTACTTTTTTTTTTAAAGATTTATTATTATTATTTTTTTTTTTATTGGAAAGGCGGATATACAGAGAGGAGAGACAGAGAGGAAGATCTTCCGTCCGATGATTCACTCCCCAAGTGAGCGCAACGGGTCGATACTATGCCGATCCGAAGCCAGGAGCCTCTTCCGGGTCTCCCACGCGGGTGCAGGGTCCCAAAGCTTTGGGCCGTCCTCGACTGCTTTCCCAGGCCACATGCAGGGAGCTGGAAGGGAAGTGGGGCTGCTGGGATTAGAACCGGCGCCCATATGGGATCCCGGGTGTGCAAGGCAAGGACCTTTAACCACTTGCGCCACCGCGCCAGGCCCGAGTTATTACTTTTTTTTAAAGATTTATTTATTTTTATTATAAAGTCAGATATACAGAGAGGAGGAGAGAAAGAGAGGAAGATCTTCCCTCCGATGATTCACTCCCCAAGTGAGCGGTGCTATGCCGATCCGATGCCGGATACCAGGAACTTCTTTCCAGGTATCCCACGTGGGTGCAGGGTCCCAAGGCTTTGGGCTGTCCTTGACTGCTTTCCCAGGCCACAAGCAGGGAGCTGGATGGGAAGTGGAACGGCTGGGATTAGAACCAGCACCCATATGGGATAGCGCATGTACAAGGCGAGGACTTTAGCCGCTAGGCCACACCACCGGGCCCGAGTTATTACTTTTAACATATAGTTGTTTACATGTCTGAAACCCTCTCCCTTCGCTGACAGAAATGATAATTTAGCAGTGAGGCTCCAACAGAAGCTTCTAAGCCAGTCATCACAAAACATGAATATTTAGGAAAATCTTGAGTGATCTAGTGCACAGTTAGAGATGAAGTGAATACATGAGCCTTTTCAATACTTGCCATAGAAATCCATTCTTCCTCCTCCAATACGACAATCCTGGCTGCTAATTACTAATGTCTACCCACTACCCAAACGGCCACTAGTGAGAGGCCAGCTGGCTCCCTCCTTGAATCTGGTGCAAGGGGGGGGTGTTGCTGCTACAGAAGCCCAGGCAAGGACATGATGACAGTTCTGATCCCCATGGTTCGAGCTGTTATTATAACAATCATATTTTGAGGAGTTTACACACCTAGGAAACTAGTTGGAACTGAGAAATTTCTTCCGAACCTATGGGTTTTTCCATACGAAATCAACAGTTCGTCTAGCAGTAGCACTCAGAAGCTTTTTTTTTTTTTTTTTTCAAAGATTTATATTTATTAAATTTTGATTGATCTAGTGCACAGTTAGAGATGAAGTGAATACATGAGCCTTTTCAATACTTGCCATAGAAATCCATTCACTCCCCAATGAGCGACAACGGCTGCTAATACTAATGTCTACCCACTACCCAAACGGCCACTAGTGAGAGGCCAGCTGGCTCCCTCCTTGAATCTGGTGCAAGGGGGGGGGTGTTGCTGCTACAGAAGCCCAGGCAAGGACATGATGACAGTTCTGATCCCCATGGTTCGAGCTGTTATTATAACAATCATATTTTGAGGAGTTTACACACCTAGGAAACTAGTTGGAACTGAGAAATTTCTTCCGAAGTCCTATGGGTCCATTTTCCACTACGAAATCAACAGTTCGTCCTTATTACACTACCTCATGTAGCACTCTGTTTTTACACTCTTTGGGAAAGTGCTTACCTTCAGGGGCTTTCGTAAAAAGCCTTCCACAGTTCTGCAGCTAAGGAATCCATCGATCTTTCCAAAAGATTCCAGTTTGCACCGTGCATTCACTCCTCTTCAAGTGTGCAGGAGTTCAGGAACACGACTCCAGGCCTCGCCGAGGATCTGACCGGCTAGTCCGCGAGGATTCTCTAGCTCCCTGCAGTCTCCACATCTATTTCTGTAAACCTCACCGTCCTCACCGCCCTTCATCTTTCCCTCTTTCTTCCATTCACCTGGGAACAAAGCTAACTTTCACAGAACCCACCGGCGCTGGTGCTTTGGAACCCAAGCCCTCATTTGGCATCCTAGCCTCTCGCCTGGTGCTGGGGCTCGGACAGGTGCAGAGCCCTTCCCGGTGCTGGAATGAGCCAGTGTAGCTCACCTGTGTTTTCCTTCACTCGTCCACAGCGCCGTCCGAAGCGCACCAGCATCCCTGACGACGTGCCCATGGCGCTCCCAAACCTGGAAAAGCGACTGATAGCGCCGAGCTGGTCGGACTCCAGCCACCCAGCCAGCAGCCAGCGAGCGGAATGTTTCCCACGCCGTGTGGTTGCTTCGCAACGCCACCGGAAGTGACGCCGCCATCGCCGAGGAACCGGGAACGCGCCGCGGTCAGCCGCGGGTCTGAGGAACTGCGGCTGCGCCTGCGCGGGAAGCAGGGGTCCGGGTGTGCTTGGACCGGCCCTTGCTGGGCAGTTGTGGGGCGCTGTGGGGAACCCAGCTGGAAGACGCCTCGCACAGGGCGGGCGACTGCCGCCGCCGGGCCTCGGCCGTGAGGTGCAGCCTCTCCGGTGAGCACCTCGCCGGGTTGATCCCCGAGTAAATACCGACTCCAGTCCCCGGGGTGGACCCTGCAGGTGTGTGAGCGCTCGAGGCCTAGCCAGGGTGTGTGTGCGCGCAGGTTTCTTCGCAGGTGGAATATAAGGGCAGACCTCCTCCTTCGGCTGGGGAAACCTAGGGGCTGGAAGACAGAGCTTCGTTTTTGAAAGTTCTTGTTCCTGTGATGTGCTCAGGACTAGATGAAGATTTTTTTTAAGTAGTGCTGAAAGTTGGCTATTGTTCCGAGAGTATTCATATTAGAGCCTTTAAATAGTTTCTGTTTCGTGGTGAACAAACCAGTGAATGGAATGTGACGGATGTTTGACACAGAAATACTGATTGTGGACATGCGCTTGGCTTCAAAACATCTTTTTCTAACGTGTTGATGTGCGAATGATTTCCTTCCGGTTTCGTTGGGTCTAACCTGTAGAATTCAGGCACAAGCTGAGGTTTCAAAACAGAGGCAGCGAAGAATTGTATGGAGCTTTCTAATATCAAGTTGTGCTGTTTCTTTCCAGGTTTTCTGTCAGTTGTGCTGCCATAATGCTGGTAAGTATGAAAGGAATCATTAAGTATTTGTAGACAAAAATTTGTGTACATATAATCCTGGTGGGTTTTTCAGAAGCTAATTTATCAAGTGCCAGGAACTAAGAAGGGTCAGAAATGTGCAACCCACGTGGGCATGCATCCTTCTTTACTATGTAAGCATTATCAAAAATAAAATAAATCTATTGTTTAAAAAAAAAAGGTTAAAAGAAATGCACAACCCGTGTGAGCTGACACCTGGGCCTGCCGTGGTTTTATATGGGATTCTGATTTCCCAGGTCATAGGTGATAACAGTAACCAGTGTAGCAGTGGTTTAGCCTCAGCAGTTTTACTTGCAGGACATGCTGGACTACGGAGATGCATGGAGAATCATCTCCCAGTGAAGATTTTATGAGGTTTTAAGTAGCTAGGATATATTTTGAATTTCATAAGATGTGATGCCATTAATTTGCTAGTTTTGACAGGCGGCCAAATACTATTTCAAACTCCAGTCCCCGGCTCTGACCCATGAGTCTTCACACAGGTAACTGGAGATTTGGAGTTACTTGCTTGTTCTATGCCCTTCACTCTCTACCCTTGTAAATTTAAGAAGATGGCGTGTGCATGCTGATTTGCAACATTCAACAATATAGCCATGTGTCAAAATGCCACCTGATACCCCTGGCAGGTTTCTAATAAGAAGAAATAAATAATCAAATACTGTTATTAATTTTAGGAGGTAAGAACTTTCCTTTCCTTTGCTCCACACCGGAAGACCTTGTCCCCTACATACACAATGAGCATATATTTGAAAACAGCTGGTTGGTGTTTAAAACTGAGGATTGTCATGGCTGTTTAAACTCTATGCTGAAGTAAGGTTATTTGCCTTAGAAATACTAATTTGAGGAAGTATCTTTAATAAACACTAATAGAAAAAGATCTGATATTAAAAAAAAATTACTGTGTTAGATCAGCCATGGAACTAAGTTCCATTGCTGTATTTCAAGATCAATAATTTAGGAATTTTAGTGACTTTTTTTGTGCCTAATTCAATCTAGGTTCAAGGTAGCTTTAAATCAGCTTGAGTTACAGTTGAAAAAAAATTTTTTATTATAAATTCAAAAAGCTTAAAAGTGATGTTTAATTGAAAATGTGCTAAAATACAATGGTCATTTGATCTTCAGTTATACTTTATTGCTGTGATATTGTGCCTATTGGAAAATGATTTCAATTTTATTTTCTGGGATCCAGTTAGACAAAACTGGATTAGACATTTAAAGCTGACAAGGTTGGGAAGTGTCAGAATATCACAATGTTACCCCCTTGAGCTGACTGAATTTAAAGAAACACGTTAATGAGTTAAGAGCTCTTTTCTGTCTCCACTTAGTGCCTGCTGTGCTAAACTGGAAAATACACGGGGTTAAATGCTGTTTCATCTTTAGTTGATCTCCTGTTTTGTTTTGTTTTGTTTTTATGTAGTGAGACGTAGAGAAAGAGAACTCCTTTCTCGGGGTTCACTCCCCAAATGCCCACAGTGGCCCTAGCCAAGAACTCAATCTGGTCTCCCGCCTGGGTGCCAGGAACTAAACTACTTGAGCTATCACCACTGCCTCCCAGGCAGAGGAGGAGAAAGTGAGAGATCCATCTTCCATCTTCTGGCTCACTCCACAAATGGCCACATAGGATGTTGTCATTGCAGGCCGTAGCTTTACTTGTTGTACCATGATGATGGCCCCTTTTCTGTTTTTTTAAGGTTTGTTTATTTGTTTAAATGGTATAGTTACAGAGCAAGAAGAGAAACACAGAGAGAAACGTCTTCCATCCGCTTGTTCATTCTTCGAGTGCCTTTATCAGCTGGGACAGGGCCAGGCTGAAGCCAAGAGCCTGAAGATTCATAGGTGGGTGGCAGAGGCCCAAAAATGGGCTATCTTCCTCTGCTTTCCCAGGCACATTAGAGCAAGCTACCTCAGAAGTAGAGCAGCTGGGGACTGAACCAGCCCTCATATAGGATGTCACTTAGCAGACCATGGCTTAAAGTCCTGAGCTGCAGCACCTGCCCAGTCACTTAATTGTAATATGGGCAACCAGAAACCTATTTCAAGTTAAACTCACTCTCTCTCTTTTTTTGAAGATTTATTTTATTTTTATTGAAAAGTCTTCCATCTGTTGAATCACTGTGCCAGGCCTAAACTCTCTCCCTCTTTTTTTTAAAGATTTATTTATTTTTTTGGAAAGGCAAATATACAGAGAGGAGGAGAGACAGAGAGGAAGATCTTCCATCTGATGATTCACTCCCCAAGTAACCACAATGACCAGTACTGTGCCAGTCCAAAGCCAGGAGCCAGGAGCTCTTTCTGGGTCTCCCAAGCGGATGCAGGGTCCCAAGGACTTGGGGCCGTCCTCGACTGCTTTCCCAGGCCACAAGCAAGGAGCTGGATGGGAAGTGGGGCTGCCAGGATTAGAACCGGCACCTACGTGGGATTTTGGCGCATTCAAAGCAAGGAATTTAGCTGTTAGGCCATCGTGCCAGGCCGCTAAACTCTCTGTTTAAGAAATTATTCTGAGGCTGTGCGGTAGCCTGGTGGGTAAAGTCCTTGCCTCCCATACACCAGGATCTCATATGACAGCTCCACGTGGATATGATCAACGTATACAGTAAGAATTATTAACTTGTATTTTTCTTAGAAATTTGTAAGAACTCATTAGTTTATTTTTACCTCTGGAGATACCTCAGTAGTTTCAATATGAAAATTCAAAGAATCATCCCCAGAGAAATACAGAGATACTTAGTGTTGTTTTTAGATGTTGTGTCTTCCATTCAGTTAAAGCACTCAAATGTGAACTTTTTATCTTAGGAAAGGGTGCTTACATGGTGGTTTTAACATGCTTGATCACTTATTTATGATCCTTGGCTTAGCAGGTTAACAGTTAATTTATCAAATAAGTGCAATAACTAGATATAGAAATACATGTGCTTTCAGAATAATCTTTATTCTCTTTCAGGCAATCCAGTCTCCTCCTGGAACCATGAAAATCTTGCTGGTTTTTGATTTTGACAATACAATCATAGATGACAATAGTGACACCTGGATTGTGCAGTGTGCCCCAGACAGAAAGCTCCCTGTTGAACTACGAGAGTCATACCAAAAAGGATTTTGGACGGAATTTATGGGCAGAGTCTTTAAATATTTGGGAGATGAAGGTGTAGGGGAAGAGGAAATGAAAAGAGCAGTTACTTCCATACCTTTCACTCCAGGGATGGTAGAACTTTTCTCCTTCATAAGAAAGAATAAGGATAAATTTGATTGTATCATTATTTCAGATTCAAATTCCATCTTCATAGATTGGGTTTTAGAAGCTGCCCGTTTTCACGATGTGTTTGATAGAGTGTTTACAAATCCAGCAGGTTTCGATAACAATGGTTATCTCACTGTGAAAAATTACCATACTCATACTTGCAATAGGTGCCCAAGGAATCTTTGCAAAAATGTCGTATTAGAGGAATTTATAGATAAACAGTTGAAACAGGCAGTGAATTATACCCAAATTGTTTATATAGGTGATGGTGGAAATGATGTTTGTCCAGTATCCTTTTTAAAGAAGAAAGATGTTGCCATGCCACGGAAAGGATACACTTTACAGAAAACTCTTTCCAAAATGTCTGGAAATCTTGAACCTATGGAATCCTCTGTTTTGGTTTGGTCTTCAGGTGTTGAAATCATTTCTCATTTGCAGTGTCTAATAAAGGAGTGTATCCACTAAGATTAGATTCAGCATCATAAAATCTAAAATCTCCAACAGCTAATGACTTAGGGAAGTATTTTTTTTCTCACTGAAAGTAATTCCAGAGGTAAGTATCTTGAGGCCTTTTTCTTGCTCTAACTGCCGTAGCATTTGGCTTCCAACTTAAAATCCAAGATTTCTGTTCAAGCTACAGCCCTCACAAAGACATTCTTGCCAGCAAGAAGCACAGTGAGAAGGTCTCAGCTCCTTGTTTTAGGATATTTCCTGGAAGGGGAAACCAATGCTGCTGCTTAAATGCCATTGGCTAATACTTGGTCATAAGGCCCCAGCTACCTGCAAGGAAGCAAGGGATAGAGAGCTCTCATTCAACTGGTTACATGCCCAGGAAAAATTGGGAAGAATACAGACTAAGGTAGGTGCATGCCATTAGTGGTCTCTGCTAAAGGTGCTTGATAGATTATATTTTGTTCACTTATGCCTGGAAAGAGTAGTCATACTATACTTTGTCAGATATTTATTTTCAAAAATGTGTCCAGTGGTTAAACATCTTAACTATTTTAAAATAAGCCTGATGTTTTATTCACATAAGAGAAAAAGGCTTCCAAATGTGTGTAGTGTCCTCCTAAAGATATAGGGATACAATATGTATTGTTCAAAGCTATCTATTTCTTTCTAACATGGATTACATATTAGAGTTCTTCAAATATTTTATAACATAATAGGCAGTAACTACAGTGCTGGTTTAATCAGCTGTCTTTGGCATTGCAATCTTGAGCGATGTTATAAATAAGTTGTAGAAATACTAACATTTTAGAAACCTTCATAGTAGAAATGTTGGCAAAATACAAGTTACCTGAAAAACAGTAGTCTGTTTTTTAAAATAAGATTTATTTATTTGAAAGACAAAGAAAATCTGCTATTTTATACCCCAAGATCCAGTCCTGACTCAGGAGCCCAGAACTCCATCCAGGTCTCCCATGAAAATTTTAACAAAGTGTTGAAAATCACATGAAAACCAAAGTGGAAACACAACTGAAAGTGACCTTGGCAGAAATAGCATTTTTAGTGGATAAACAGAAAAACACAGATAGCTGAGGAAAAATTAGCCAGTGAGCACAAATTAGAATATCCAAAGAGTAACAAAATAATGGAAGTACAGAAGATGAAATAATAACATCTAATTTGATAACTTGGTATTCCGGGAGAGAAAAACAGTAATGAAGGAAAAGCAGTAATTAAAGAGACAATGAGGGACCAGCCCCATGTAGCAGATACAGCTACTGCCTGCAATGCCAGCCTCTCATATGGGCATTGGTTCATGTCTTGGCTGCTCTGCTTTTCATCCAGCTCCCTGGTAATGGCCTGGAGCAGCAGAAGATAGGCCAAGCACACTGGGTCCCTGTCACCCATGTGGGCAACATGGATAAAGCTCCTGGCGCTTGGTTTTGCCCTGACCCAGTCCTGGCCACTGCGACCATCCATCTGGGGAGTGAACTGAAGGATGGAAGATGACACACTCTCTTTATCCTTCTCTCTCTAACTTCAATTTCTAAATAAATCTTTTTGAAAGATATTACAAAAAGAAATTCTGGCAACTGTATATCCTTAACATTAGCCTATAAAATCCCTAGGAACCTGAAGAGGACAAATAAAGAAAAACCTCTTGAAATTATTTACTGTGAAACTTCTGCTAAACAAAGGTAGAAAGAAGTATAAAGCCCGTTGGCACTGTGGGTGTTCTCCGGGACTAGCAGAAAGCCCAGAAGTCTCAGTACATCATGTTCCGTGGCAATGGCAAGAGCATGACAAACACTGTCAGCAAGTGAAGCTGGCCTCCCTTCAAGTGCCCTTCCAGATAGGAATACAGATAAAATTCCCTCATTTTTTAAAAAAAGAACCAAGTTAGTAGCATATTTTTCTTAAATGCTTAAGGAGTTTCAAGAGTGAACACATTCCAATCGAGGTTTCTTTACTGGAAGGCTAGCACTCATTCCACTGTTTAAGTAGACACAGCACTATTCAGGTTGTATATTTTTTCTTTGCTAGACATCAGTAGTTTGCGACTATCATCTATTGCTGCATAATAAATTATCTTAAAATATAATAGCCTATTATAATATAAACAGGATAGCATCTATGGGTTAAAAATTCTGGAATTTTCTTTTTCTTTTTTTTTTTTAAGATTTATTTATTTTTATGGCAAAGCCAGATTTACAGAGAGGAGGAGAGACTGAGAGGAAGATCTTCCGTCTGATGATTCACTCCCCAAGTGACCACAACAGCCAGAGCTGAGCCGAAGCCAGGAGCCAGGAGCTTCTTCCATGCCTCTCACATGGGTGCAGGGTCCCAAGGCTTTGGGCCATCCTCAACTGCTTTCCCAGGCCACAAGCAGGAAGCTGAATGGGAAGCGGGACCACGGGGATTAGAACCAGCACCCATATGGGGTCCCAGCGCGTTCAAGGTGAGGACATTAATTGCTAGGCCATGCCACCAGGCCCAAATTCTGTCATTTTCAGCAGGGTGGTTCTGGCTCAAGATCCAAACCAGGTGAAGGTGTCAGTTGAGGTGCAGTTATATGAAAACTTGCCTGGAGTGGAAATGTCTGCTTTAGGATACCTCTCATACATCCTTTGAAGGAAACCTCAGATCTTTACTATCACCATGAAGGCTCAATTCATAGCTGACTAATGGTGAGATATTTGTTTTCTAATTGCATTGGCTTCTCCATAAAGCTTGAGCTCGCTGAAAAGCATGGTAGCTGAGTGATCGAAGAGAAAAGGCTAGGAGAGCACTAAAAATGCCTTCTGTGGCCTATCAGAAGTCAAATAGCAACATTTCTGACATACTCTTTGTTAAAATTGTACACTAAATCTTACATTTTAAAAGGAAAATAATTCAAAAAATGTATAGATGGTCTTTAAAACCACCAGTGCCTCTAAACTTCATTCCTTTCATCTAAGTTGTATAATTTATGGGCATATAGTTTTAGTGATATTCCTTCTTAAGTTTTTAATTTTACAATGAATGCTTATTTACTCACTATGAGGATTCTGCCTTTAATATCTTATTCTTATCAGTCTTCATCCAGTCTTTCTGCCATACCTGGGACACACAAAAGCCATGGCTAGCGGACCTGCTTAGCAAGACTAAATCACAGAACCCACCAGTGAGTGTCAGGGCAGCGTGTGGACCATGTTAGGTTAGGACATGAGAGAGCTGGGTCTGGGGCCAGATTCTGTGGGGAATCCTGGGCTCGTCCATGTGGGAAGGGCAAAGGGTAATGATGGGCTGAGCTAGGCATGACTGTGCAACTCACCAACATGCATAGATACAGGGATTGGGAACAGGGCAGGCTGGTTCAGGCTGCAGTACCGGCAGTTGCACCCAAGAACTGGATATGGGGTGGACCAGGCTGCAACATCTACCAGTACACACAAAGACTGAGATTTGGGGCACAAATGGTGCTGGGTAAGGGCCTGGCACCTGCTGACAGAAATGAAATCTGGGTCTGGGAGTGGGCCTGGTGGGAGAACTTGGGGAACTTCCCAGTGGGCCATAGCTGCCACTGTTGAGCACATGAGTCAGGGCTGGGTGGTGATCAGGCTGGGCAGAGCTGCTTCACTTTTTGCCAGGTGTATAGGTTGACTCGGGGGGTGGACTGGGCAGGACCAGGCCAAACCATAGCACACTGGCATGCACAGGAGCCAGGATGGGGTATATGGGCCATGCTAGGGTATCACTGCTACCTGTATGTATAAATGCTAAAAACGGTCAGGCTCTGCAGGGTTAGGCTGTCGCATCCACCAGTGAAAGTTAGGACTATGGGCATGCCAGGCTGCAGCATCTAATGATGAAGGCCAAACTGAATAATAGGTTATGCTGGGCTGTGTCAGAGCAGCCACCAACACGCTCAAGATCTGTGTCTTGGAGTGAGTCTGGTTGGAGAGCTAAAGGGATGCTTTGGCTAGGTTGTGGTTCCCACTGGTGAGTGCAAGAGCCAAAATGGGGTGAGGGCTAATGGGAGCTGCTCCAACTAGGCTGAAGTTCTCACTGGTGTATGTAAGGGCTGAGTATGTGGTGAGCAAGATTAGGCTGGGCCGCAGCATCCATTGGTTTGCGTATGAGATGAGGCTGGGAACAGAACTGACCAGGTGACTACAACCACCAGTGTGTGGACTTAACCAGACCCAGCTAGCACAAACAGGAGTCAGATTGGGCTCACCTCCGGCAAGGTTTCTTTGGGGATCCCTACGTCCCAGCTCGATCACTGGACTCAGAACTCAAACCACAGGGAAAATCATGGGATGTGTGGCCTAACTATAGAGTGCATGTTTCAGAACTGGATCTCCACAATTCCTAAGACCTTTGCAGTGGATGGCATGCCCAGATGTTTATGGGGATATGACAATCAGTTCATTGAGGCCCACGAAGATATCTGGTGTCATGGAGAGTTGAAAAAATTGGACAGCTCTCCTATTCAAGTTTTGACAGTATTTGGCAAATCAAAACTCTAGGTGAGAGCCTGGTATGGTAGCCTAGAGGCTAAAGTTCTCACCTTGCATGTCCCAGGATCCCATATGGGCAATGGTTCTAATCCCAGGAGCCTTGCTTCCCTTCCAGCTCCCTGCTTGTGGCCTGGGAAAGCAGTCAATGACAGCCCAAGGCCTTGGGACCCTGAAGAAAAATATAAAATAACTCTAGGTGGACTATGTTAGTCAATGGACCTTGGAAGAAATTCCTCAACCTTGGAGCAATGTAATCAATGACATCTCAGGACTATCAAAATCACTTTAACAATATCCTTAAAACAGGCTCCACACTGGGGACTCTGGGATGACATCAGGTGGCTGTCCCCCATTCTTTGGAATTATTGCTGTTTGGCTGCTAAGAGCGGCCCTCTCCCCTTACCCTCTTCATTGTCTGCATAAAGAGGAAGAAAAAAAGGAGATAGGAGGTAGTTGTCTCATCCACTTTTCCCCATTCCTTGACCTCCTCACCCTAATTGGTGATTTAGATGGGCATGCATCCTTCTTAACTATGTAAACATCACCAAAAATAAAATGATTTTATTATTTTTGGGCCCAGTGTGGCAGCCTAATGGCTAAAGTCCTCACCTTGCATGCGCAAAACCCCATGTGGGTGCCGGTTCTAATTCCGGCAGCCCTGCTTCCCATCCAGCTT